GAATGAATTGAATGTTGTTTTCTCGAATGACGCCGATGTTTAAATTGAGCTTTCCGTGCATCACGTTGAACGAAGTTTGTGATATCCAAGTTTGTGTTGAATTGCCGTAATCTGTGATTCTGTTATTGTAAACTAATGCGATTTTTTTAGTCAAGAAATATAAACTTCTTTCAACTCAACGACATCTTACTACAATCTCAAAGCTTTTTCCGCGTAACAATATTCATCCTGATTCGACATACGGAATGCTCTCTTCAATTATAATTTACTTGGAACGACGTATGATCGTGTTGATTGAGATAACAACGTATTTAGTCATGAGAATAATTTTGGTTTTTGAGTAAACCAATGAATTTCTGGAGTTGGCAAACTTTTGGCTAGAAAGAAATCAAATACTCTCATCAAATGTATCTCAAGAAGCGATAACCGGTATCACTATGAAATCATATTTATTTGAAAATTAACAACCAAATGATAGTTGGTTCAAATAAAATTCTCTTGATAAAACTAATTTTTTCTGTCAGTGTAAATTCAATCATTTTCAATCATCAAATTTGTTAATTAAATTATGTGAGAAAAAATGAAAAAATGAAAATGAATATTCAGTGTCATTCAAATTACATTTTGTGCAGAATTATTATGTTTTTAAACATTCGTTGTTCGTAAATAAATCATTCACATTGTTTAAACTCTCGGAAACCTTATTTTTCAGAATATGAATAAATGGATTGTTTAACAATCAGTTATAAAAAATGCATAATTGCGTAAATTTCAAAAATTGCAATTTTCTAATTATTCAATCTTCTTCCAAAAGTAAACATTGATTGTTTTTCAGATTTTTAAAATGTTTTCCAACGGTTCAATATCGAGATTCAAATTCAGATCTGCAAAGTTTAAATAATAAAATTAGTGTAAAATGTCCGGAAACTTGGGGTCAAATGGGGCTTAAATGAAAGCTCTGATGTTCGACTACAAAAGTAGAAAAACATTTCACTGGAGAAAAAATAGTCAAAGTACTTGGATATCCTTAAATGATGAGAATGCAAAGAGGAGCATTTCAAAGCACAGCTCTTCCATTATTGTACAAAAACTACTCGCCAAAGATTTATGACATACTGGAAAAACAGTTCTAGAAAGGAACTAATTTACGATCCGCGATGCCCGTAACATGATGAAATTGGAAGGACTGTGTCTGCAAGTACACTCTTAGAAAATTACTCCTGAAATTTCAAGTGAAAATGTTTGAAATTCTTAACAACAACAAAGTTACATGAAATTCCTCTAGAATTCTTCATTGACGAATCAGTTAATTTCTTGAATATCCAAGTAACTCTCGATTTTCATGTCCATACGGCACTGAAAAACCTTTGAAAATTTGGAAAATTCAGGCGCCAATTCCCTAAATTTTCAATCTATTGAAAACCGAATTGTATGTTCTGTTCACTTTTCACGATGAGTTTAACAATTCAAGCTTTCATTGAAAAATCAATGATTCTTTACCAAAAAAATCCCAATTTTCTTAAATTTTCCCGATTCATGAGAAATTCAGTGACCGTTTCCATTCGAAATTGAATTCAAACTCACAACATAAAAAACCCCACGACACTGACTGAAATTTCAAAAAATTTCTACCCGAGTACAGACGCGCCTTCCTCGCGCAAATAAAGGGATTTCTCCAAAGTATTTAATTCCTTCGCCACATTTACGTATTCACTTGCACCCATATTCATTACCCTCTCGCACTTCAAATCAAAACATCCGGCTCACCAAACCCCCAAAGAAGCCAACAAATCAAAAAATCCGAGCGGCGAAAATCATGCGAATTCTGCAGAATAATGATAATCCGTCGTTACCTGACGACATAGTCCGTCGATTTTCCGAATATTCCGTTACGCCACGATCCGTCGATATTTACCAAGTTCCCTATCCCCTTCCCCAATTCTCACAATCTCCAACTTCACCAGCACTTCACCTCGGTATTCAAACGATAGCAGCCGTTAATTTCATCAAAAACATTGAAATACGTTTGCAGACCAGCGTACATTCGACGCTCAGTGTTTTGAAAGGCGCTTAGCGGACGGGGCACGGGGCAGATATGAGCATCGAACCACCTCGGTAGGGACCTAAAAATCGATATTTCGGTCTTTGCTCCATTCCCTATCCGGGTGTGTGCGGTTAAACTGTGTACCGGCTGGGTATGGGTTAGTATTTGCAGGATAGAGTAGGGTTGGCCCCCCTCGGTTCACCTTTTCCATCATATCGATTTTCACCCTGGCTACCAATCGCACGCATCCATTTATCGTATCGATCGGTTGAGCTGATTCCGGCGTTTGCGTCTCCCGTCCCCTTCTCATTTCTCGCTGCCTCTCACTCTCCCTTGCCCCTTCTTCAACCCCCTCGCCCCCCGCCGCCCCCCCGCCCAGTGCCAGCCCCCGCCCTTGCCACCTAATTCTATCCCTCTCACGCATTTCTGTCTCCAGATACATTCGCAATTCAACCCCCTTGGCCCATTCTATTCGCCACTCGTCGCGGCGTTATTCCCTCGCAATGGAGTGGGCGAGGGGCGGGGGGCTGGGCCCCCTCTCGGCGCAATTTTTACCCTTGTCTCGGGACACAACCGCCCTGAGATCCTGTGACACGAGTGATCTTGACGCATCTCTGGGGATATGTGTTTCAACATCATATGCAACCGGCAGCAAGATTCATTTATTATTATAATGAGTAAAACAAGAAGAGCAGATTTGTCTTCTTTGCTGTGGCAATCTTTCTGCAGTGCGACCATTTTACGATTTTATTTTCTATTATTTTCTATAGATAAACGAGAATTTTTTGTAGAAAAAGTTGATGAAGTGGAGTTTTCTGTAGAACTTATTCTATTGATATGTTTTATAGACATTTTTTTGCTCGATTTTTCAATGAGAAGCAAATAATTGAGCGAAAGAAACTCTGAAAATTTATGTCAAGGAATTGCTATATGAAGAGCAATTCGGGACACAACTGCCCTGAGATCCTGTGACACGACTGATCTTGACGCATCTCTGGGGATGTTTTAATATCATATGCAACCACCAGCAAGATGTATTTATTATGATGAATAAAACAGGAAGAGCATTTATTTACCTTCTATGCTCCGGCAACCTTTCTGCAGTGCGACAATTTTGCGATTTTCTTTTTATTATTTTCTATAGATCGAAAAAGAAATGTTCGATAGAAAAAAAAATAGAATTGAATGTTTCTATAGAACACGTTCCAATGAGATTTATCTTATAGAAATCCCTCAGTTCGGATTTTCCAAGATTTTTCTTTCATTTTTCAATGAGAGGAGGAAAAAATAGAGTGAAAAAAACTAGGAAAATTTATATCAAGGAATAATAGTATATAAAGATCAAATTCGACGGATCTACTCTCCTCCCAATTTCTACCCTTGTCTCGGAATACAGCCGCCGGTTTTGTTGATTATCAGTGATAATCAGTGAACCAGAAGCTCATTTATTTTTCATTTATTTTCTAACGATCAAAAACTCAATTTTCATGGAAAAAATCAATAAAATTGGATTTTTCTATAGAACATATTCCAATGAGATTTATGTTATAGAAACGACGAATTTACTTTCTTCGGAATGTTTACGCTTGTCTCGGAACACAACCACCGATACAGTTAATCAGTGATTAACTAACCCGGAAGGTCTCATTTCTCATTAATTTTCTATAGATCAAAACTAAATTTTTATTTTAAAAAATCAATAGAATGGATTATTTCTATAGGACACATTCCAATGAGATTTATGTTATAGAAACGACGAATTTACTTTCTTCGGAATGTTTACCCTTGTCTCGGAACACAACCACCGATACAGTTGATCAGTGATTAACTAACCCGGAAGGTCTCATTTCTCATTAATTTTCTATAGATCAAAACTAAATTTTTATTTTAAAAAATCAATAGAATGGATTATTTCTATAGAACACATTCCAATGAGAGTTATGTTATAGAAATCCCTCAGTTCGGATTTTCCCAGATTTTTGTTCAATTTTTCATTGAGAGGAGGAAAAAATAGAGTGAAAAAAATGCCGAAAATTTAAGGAATTTATTTTAAGGAATTTTTATAGGAAATGTCTGGATAGAAATAGTTGTATATAAACATCAAATTAGACTGATTTTCTCATTTCTCTTTTCCTAAAACCGCCCTGAGATCCCGTCACAGGACTGGTCTTGACGCATCTCTATTAGGGATACGTTTCAACATCATATGCAACCGGCAGTAAGATTCATTCATTATTATGAGTAATTAAACAGGAAGCTCATTGATCCGTCATCGTCGCTCTCGAAGCCTCTCTGCAATGCGCCAATCTTTTGTTTTTAAAATATTCATTATTTTCCAATGAATGCAGGGCGCCCTCGTTTTCCCTCAGGTGGACCAGTCCTGCACGGAACATTGATGTTTCATCGTTTTCAGTGGATTCGCACAAGAGGATTTTTACTCGACTGACCTCAGGTGAAGCGCAGCAAGTTTAATTAAGGGGATTACAAATTCGATTGAGGTTTGTGACACAGAAAAGGCGCGACAATCGTTGGCCGATCGATCTTCATTCCCTATTCGAATCCAGGGTAGAGGAGGAACGGAGGAATGAGATGAGTCTATTCCATGCAGATTTGGAATTTTCATGGAGCTTTGACGGATAAACTTTTCGTCAAACTTCAACTCCTTTCGATGATTTGAAAATAGTAATTCGACACACAGAAAAATCTAAACGCAAATTACGTTTTACTAAGCGTAATTTATGGTTTGCTAAACGCGATTTATCATTGGCTTTTTTCCATTATGAAAATTGAAATTTAGCCTTCAAAAAAGGCGTATTTTACGGGCGAAATAAAAACGTAAGTTACGCGCAAACAAAACGTCTTTTACATTTCACGAAGCGTATTTCACGCTTGAGAAATGGTAAATTACGATATTAATAGAAACACATTTTACGTTTTACCTACACTGAGAGAAAAAAATATTCCTGCCAAGGATTGATATTCTCGTCAGAAGATAATATTTTTTCAGAACGAATTTTTCCAGGACAGTCATTTTCAGAGAGTCCAAGTCTATCCTCAAAAATTACAGTGATATTGAACAATCTGATTATTATGCTACATATGACCTTGACAAAATGTTCTCCGATATCTTCCGGATTTTACAAATTGGCGATTTTCTCAGGTAAAGAAAATTGGAATAATTCCAAATGTTAATAATTATTATTGGAGTTTCTTCGAGGTCATATGCAGAAGAATATTCTTATAGATCACCATAATTCTCACGCTTGGAACTGATTTCGGAGCACCTGGAAATGACTGGCCTGGAGAAATACGTTCCAAAAGAGATTTTTCTTCTACTAAGAGTATGAAAAAGATATCACCAATAACATTTTCTTGGAAAGAATAAATTTTTTTCTCAGTGTATGTGTAATTTGTGAAAAAACAACGTATTTTATGATTAAAAGTGCCAAGTGAATTTGGCGATGACCTTGAAAATTGACATTCACCAACAAAGTTATAATTTTTTTAATTGATAGTATTAGACAGATGGTGAACAGGGACACACCGGCCGGCGCGACGCCGCTTTTCCGTCCGTTCGACGCTGCTTTTCCTCTTTTTTGTTAAATAAATTTCCCGAGAAAAAACGGACAACGCGAATGGTTAATAAAAGGATTGAACTAGGAACTCTATTTTTTTCAGAATTTTTAAACGTCGAGACATGCTAAAATATAAAAAAATAAAAACGAACAACGCCGCGCTCATTGAGCGAGTGATCGATGGTTAAAATAACTTTTATGTCATCAGGCCCGATAAACCGCGATTCTAACCTCGCTTCACTCGGTTAGATCGCGTATATCACACGGCGATAAAAGCATTATCTGGCGAATGTGATTAAGACTGGTTTTAACCCAGGTGGACTGGTGGTTTTTTTTTTAAAGCCACATTCGCCAGATAATACTTTTATCGCCTAATGACATAATATACTATTTTTTCGTTGTTAATTACAGATAAATAAACGTAAAATACGGGAAAAAACATCATAATTTACGAATATAAAATAGTAAATTAAATTCGTAAATTACGGTTTCATAATCGTAAATTACGTTTATGTAATTGTAATTTTCGGTGCCTTTGAGCGTAAAATACGCTCCAGAAAGTGCGGAAGACGACTTCTTAAACGTAATTTACGTCTAGATTTCTCTGTGTGGACATTCAAAGTTCAATTGAGCCCACTTCACTCGTTTTATGATTTTCTAAATTTTCAATTTTTTTTTTTCAATTTCTAAATTAATTTTCAGCAAAATATGTCCAATGAAAAACATGTTTTTTTCATATCATCATGATGATTTTTTTTATATCATCATGTTTTTTTTTCAACAACGCAACAGTATTTACATTATTTACAGAATATATACATCTAAAAAAAAACAAGCACGTAAGTAGGGGGGAGTCACATGTAAAAGGCCACAAGGTCATACATGGCTGCAATAAAAAAATCAAAGCAAGTATACAAACAACGTTTATGAAAAAAATTGTTTTGAGTGAACTTTGCCCACAACGTGACTCTCCAGTTTGAACAGATTATTTTGAGATTATTCGATTGAATAATAATACTCTCTAGACGGAAAATATGAATTTGTTTTTTAACCATGTTTTTATTGATTAATATGTGGATATTTGCATTTGTACAGCTATTTATATAAAAGAACAGGTAAATAAAAAAATTATATACAATATGTTTTTTTAATGAACTTTGGTCACAACGTGACTCTCCAGTTGTAGTTTATTTTGTTGTTTTTTATAATGCTTTTATGACAGCGGATTGTTTTTTGCTTCCGAATGGAAACTCTGTAATAGTCCAAATTGAACTTTGGGATATTTTTCATTTTATCGATCCAGTATGATCCAAAAATGCAGTTTTTAGACCTCATCCGTACGTGTGTCCACGTGTGCACGTATGTAATAAAGTTTTTCATCAATTGTTCGCTAATGAATGGATAGAATTTAATCTTTTTTTTCAAATATAGGTATTGTGGAGCCCTATCAATCGCCACCAATTAAAATTTAATTCATCGATTAATTTTTTTAATTTTTTAATTTTTTCGACAAACGGTTTTCCCACGATAACTAAAAAAAATGTTCTGGATTGATTGAATGATGGCTTAAAAAATTTATTTGGATGTCCTTTTGACCGATTTCGAAGATGAAGGCGATAGCTACAATCGTTATTTTGATTTATTTAAAAATTTACAAAAATTTTGTATTTTTTGAAAAATAAAATGGTTGTTTTAATGACATTAAATCGAAGTGAAAAGATGATTACGATAGCTATATTGGTTGATTTGATTTTTATGATGATTGTTGAAAATTTCGAATTTTTCATGAATTTCCCTGAAGGTGAGCTTTCTGATGATCTCTTCAAATGTGATGATTCGAATTCATTCAAGTATGTATAAATAAAATTTTTCTGTCAACATTTTATCGAAGCGTTGAGGGGGGATATAGAACTAAAAAAAACAATCGGTTGTACAGAAGAAAGGGATAATACGGATAATGATGATGACAACATTCAACTAAGTTGAACATATCTGACAAAATCAGTTGAAAAAAATCTTTTTCAATTTAATAAAATGTCATAAATAATTAATTATACATATAATGGGATTCGGTTATTTTTTTATGTCTGGGTACATGAAATAAAATTGGTCTATTCACTTCCTTTGGAATAGATCAATCTTACCAAAAGAGTGAAATATTGCGGTTTATGTTTCCACAAGGAGCTCTACCCAAAGCTAGAATGAAACATATTTGTTTTCGTTTAACCATGCTTTTATTCAAGAGTACAAAAATTATTTACATTTATTAACGGCTATTTACATAAAAAACGGGTATATAAAAAAATAACGATTTTATATCTGTGATTTTTAATAAACAATTGTCACTCAGTGACGCTTAAGATTTAAACTGTTCATCTTTATGTTCTAATGTTTCCACAACAATGTATTTTTTATTTCTGCTCTGTTTAAGGGCAATTTGTCACTTTTATTCTTACATTTTTAGGCGCTAAAAAAAAGAAAAGAGGGTTTGTTTTTTTATATCTATTTTGTGAGGGAAAAAACGCTCTAGTAATTACAATTGAAAAGAAGAAATGAATAGGTTTTTTCTATTTTTATGTCCAGAATTTTTATCTTTTAAATTTATATCAATTATAGATGTGGTGCTATGTATTATATGAGCATATTTTTTATTATTAATTTTGGATACTGAGTTATTTGTTCAGCTCTTTTTTTCAATTCCGTAGCGAAGCGGTAAACCGGTTTAAGTACAGTAGACTCCCGTTAGAATCACTCTCGTTATAGTCGCATTTCCCCTCATCGATTTTTCGGCCCGCGAGCGCTCCCCCCACTCCATTACCTACGAAAGCCTTTAAATGAATGCTCCTGTTTTTCCTGGAGGAGTCATTGTTCTTGAATTCTCGGAAATTCGCAAAATAAAATACTGAAAATATGAATTTACGATGGGTAGACATTTAGTCTGCTCCTGATCGTTACGGAGAGAGGTTACACTTTTATTGTGGTAAAATAAGTTAAAATTTGATTAGTTAGTTGATCGAGTGAAAATTTAAATGAATTGAAAAATGAATCCGCATGACAATAATTAATTATTATTAATAATTAATCAATTTTTATTTTTATTGGTCATTATAATATCATAATTGTTATGATAATTATTATTATATTTTCATTTTTTCATCAATAAAATAAAATAAAAATTCAGTATTTTTATTTTATCAATGTCGATTCTGAAAAATGACGCCCGGAGTGAGCGCGTGGTGGTGGAAGGTGAATACAGTCGCATTCCCCGAATTCACTTCCCCAACAGCCCCTTGAGTGTGACTCTAACGGGAGGTAGCTCTACCCTTCGGCCGAGCTACGCTGAACTTTTGGATATTTTCAGTTTTAAAATTTTCAACTTAATTTCATGGAAAAAATTTGAAAAAATTCATACCCAGTCAGTATTATCTAGATTAAATTTCGCAAAATATTGATATTTTTTCAAACATTTCCCTCTTATAAATAAATAATAAAACTTGTTTGCAAAACGGTGGATTATTTTTATGAGGTGTCAAAAAAATTCTTGATTTTTTCACATCTAATGAATAAAAATTCAGATTTCAATCTTTGATTACAAGGGAAATGTTGATTTTCACATAAGACACTTCTTCAAAACAAGACAAGATTCACAAAACAATAATTAAATTGAGAAAAACATTAGAATTCCGAATCTAATCGAGTTTTCTGCAATTTTTTTGCAGTTTTCAATAATCTTTGAATTATATGAACTTTTAGAATTGTATTTTCTCCTGCAATTATTATTTTTTCTTGATGAAACTATTTCATTGACTCAACAATTCAATGATTGAGTCGATAAAGTAGTTTCACAGTTAAAAATTAATAATTGAAGGAGAAAACAATTCTAAAAGTTGATATGGACACAAGAGTTCCGTTTCCCCTCCCCATTTAGACTATTGATTAATTTTTAATGAATATCTCTGAACCTAAGGGAGCTACCAAATTTTTCATCATAACCTTTTTTGTAGAGCGAACTGAGAGCTACAAAAAAGGTTATAATGAAAATTTCACTATTTCTCTTAGATTTAGAGATATTTCTCGAAAACTCGGGGAAGAGCTAATCGACTTCAACCGGTTTACCGCTTCGCTACTGAATTTATTGCTAATAAATTCAGAATATTATGCAGGGAGTTGATTATTGGTGAAAAATAATCTATTGAGTAAGGATTGGCGAATGCAGTTAGACAATGTGTGCACGATCACGTGGCCCAGAGTAACAATCAAAGAATTTACCTGAAGATGTCGACACTGAAATTTGCTGTGCTATGACACCAACACAATAGCCCGTCACGTGTGTACGCAAATAAATACATGGACACGGGTTGAAAATCGTCTTGACGATGATACTGTCATTGCCGAGTGAGCGAATGAGTGATTAATGTGAAAATTACCTCGCTTACTCGTTTTATTCCTTCGAAAAAAATGAAAAAGTTGATAGTCAATGTGAACTGAGTTGAAAAATTTCAAGTGGTTCGTGCGGATTACCTGGACTCGGAGTGATACTGCCAGGAAGTGATACAGGTGTTTTTCTCATGGATTTTCATGCATTCCACCGAGAAAAATATGATCGGAGCGAGTACACTTGGAGTCAGCGGCCTTGCACGTCGTAAAGATGATCCGAAAAACGTGAGTTTGGATTTTTTTCGTATCCTCTTTCATCGATTTCGGGTTTCTTTATTGGATTATTGATCACAAGTGATTCGAGGCAAATGAGATATGAAAATAGGTTAATCGATGGTGCAGGAAAATCTGGTGAAGGCAAATTTCACTTGCCTGAGATTTTTTTTTGGGATTCGGGGAATATTTTAGTTTTTTGTGATGAAATATTGTCATTGAGAACGCTCCACAGATTTATTTCAGATTTAATTTAATTTAATTTTATTTATTTATGTTTAATTTCAAAGCTATTCCTGTTATTTACCTGATATTATCGTTTTATTGTTGTGTTTACAAAATATTTTAGCTTTTCGTGATCAAATATTGTCATTGAGAACGCTCCACAGATTTATTGGAGATTTAATTTAATTTTATTTTATTTATTCATGTTTAATTTCAAAGCTATTTCTGTTATTTACCTGATATTATCGTTTTATTGTTGTGTTTACAAAATATTTTAGCTTTTCGTGATCAAATATTGTCATTGGGAACGCTGCACAGATTTATTTTAGATTTAACTTCATTTTATTTTATTTATTTATGTTTAATTTCAAAGTTATTTCTGTTATTTATCTGAGCTTATACTCTTATCGTTGTGTTTACAAAGTATTTCATCTTTTTGGTAAGATATATTGGCATTGGAAACATTCTACAGATTTATTTCAGATTTAATTTCATTTTATTTGCATTATTCATGTTTAACTCCGAAGTTGTTTCTGTTATTCATCTAAATTTATGGTTTCATCGTTGTGTTTCTAAAATATTTAATCTTTTTGGGATGAAATATTGTCATTGAAACCATTCCACAGATTTATTCTGGATTCAAGGCCCGGATGTACTATCTTTCGGACGTTATCTCGATGTTTTTTTAAATCTTTCGTCATCTGAGTTGTCATCTGTCAATTGAGTCCTGAGAGTTTTGAAAAATTATGAATGAATAACAAAAAAAAGTAGAAGAAATTCTTAATTTTTTCAAAGAGCATTTTTAATTTGTATTCAGAATAAGTTGAATAACAAGAAATTGAAAAATGTATCTGATTTTCGGTGACAAATGGCGGCCTGTCACCCAATATCATGCAGGGGGAAGAATGATTTCGTAAATCTTTTCCCACACTGCACCGAGACATTTATTACGGAAAAGGCTCTTTGAAAAAAGTTGCAATATTTTTGAGAATTTTATAATCACACTTTTATCACATAAAAATGGCAGATGACTACATACCACTGTTTTGAAAATTGAGATACCTAGCTGTCACTTCCCATGAGGAGTTAGTGTTTTGTTATCCACCATGGAAAATGACAGCTAATAGATAATTTACCACAGCGAATCAGATATTTGTAATTTCCACTTTTCTCAGCTCATTCTGAATCTCAATTAAAAACGCTCTTTGAAAAAGTTCAGAATTTTTTCTATTTTTTTAATCATTCTATCATAATTTTTGGGAATTTCTACATGATGTACCACTCAATTGACAATTTTGGATTACGAAAGATAAAAAAAATCCAGATAACATTCGAAAGATAGTACACCCGGGCCTTAATTCTGTTCTATTTTCTTTATCTATGTTTAATTTCAAATTAATTTCTATTATCTCCACGAATCAATAAAAATCCCACGTTTTTGTTACAAAATAAAAAAATTGAACAATAAATTCATAAAATGTCCATTGTATAACGATAATGGTTTTTATTCTTTCAGAGTCGCATTATTAACTCGTGAATGATTCCAAGGTCTACATGCTCCTAAAGTATAGATAATAAAGAGAATAAAACTGAAGATGCCGCACGTGACAAGAAAGTGGGAATTATTTCCCGGAAGAAATAGATTCTGCTGTGACGGAAGAATCATGATGGCACCACAAACTGGTGTATTCTACATAACTGTATGCCTGATTGCTGGAACGAGTGCATTATTTTTTGCATTTGAGTGAGAATTTATATTTGAATCACATCCATTAGTGGAACATTTGTCCTCAAAATCAATGGCAGCGTAACGAGTAGTTGTAGATGTATCTCATGTACTTTCTTCTATTTTCAGCTGTCCATATCTCTCGATACACATAACACCAGCTATACCAGTCATTGGTGGTTTGCTTTTTATATTTGTAATGTCAGCATTGCTCAGAACGAGTTTCAGTGATCCTGGAGTTATTCCCAGGGCTACGCCTGATGAGGCTGCCTACATAGAGAAACAAATAGGTACTTATTCCTCTATAAAAAATCCTCTGTAAAACAAGTACGAAATTGCTCTCATATTGCATATGAGGTGTTCCACGCTAAATGAGTCAACCGCTGACCCTTACCCTCTTGGAAATTAATGGCGATTTTTTCTACGATTGGGGGGGTTGAAAAACTATCTCTCAATTTTTTCCGATTTTTTTGGCAGTCCAGCTCAGAGATATGATTTTTTTTACATTTTTCCGTTTTTTTCCAATAACTCGAATTCTATTCGTCTGATTTTGATTTATTAAGCATCAAAATTTTCTATTTTTTACCGCCTATACGAGCATTTCCGGTAATTTTTTTTGTTCGATTCCCAGATGCTCATAATAACCAATTTTCGAAATAAAAAGTTGAAGAAGTTGAATTTTGCAAATTACGTCACTTTTGATTTGTTCCATTTTTTTCATTAATTCTTATAATCAAAACTAGTATTTTGAGCTGTCATTCAAGTTGGGCATCCTCCTGGATCTATTTTATTTTTAATTTTTTCTTTTGGAAATTTCGTAAATTTGGTCAAAACACCCCAAAACGATTTCGTGAGGGACAAAATATTTTTTGATAAACTCTCTTTTTTTAACTCTCCCCTGCATGAGATATTTTCATTCTGAAAAGGCACCGTCTCGTGTGAATCATCCATCTCTTGAGCCAAATATTTCATTTTGTCGAAGGTAGAGCAATTATTCATTAATTGACTATTTTTTCCATTTTTTTTTCAGAAGTGCCAAACAACGGCAATTCACCTACTTATAGACCGCCACCGAGAACAAAAGAGATCCTTGTCAAAGGACAATTAGTGAAATTGAAGTATTGCTTTACATGTAAGATATTTAGGCCACCGCGAGCGTCACATTGCAGCCTCTGCGACAATTGTGTTGGTATGTAGAATATATTTTGTTGATAAATTTTGAGATAGTCTTTCAGTCCCCGTCGTCAGCATTTTCTTGACGAAATTACCTATTACGCACGATGAAGTCCTTTCATTTTTTGACATTTGGTGTTTTTACATTCTAATTAGACAATTTACATTCTACAGTGTAAATTAAATTCTACTAAATTGTAATGTCATTCAAACTTGTAAATGTTCAATTTGTCGTGCGAAATGCGACATGTGTGACGCAAGTATGGGCAATTGATGAATTTGGTTTGATGATTTCCTTCAATTCCACATACTCAAATTATACCTGTTGACTCTTCGAATTTTGAAATAATCCATCCGGGCGTAAGGATATATAATAAATCTGTTACGATTCCGAACCAATGATTTTTATGATGGAAAATTGATTTTTTATCAATTATTTGTAGAAAATTCTTATAATTTTCGAAAATTGCTATTTTAAAATTATTTCATCTTCCCGCAAAAGAAAACTTTCTAATGTTTTGTTCGATGTTTAAAATGTTTTCTAACGATTCAACATCGAGATTCAAATGCAGACCCGCAAAGTTTAAATTAGCTATTTCTATGGTGGAAAATTCAGTAGCGAAGCCGTAAACCGGTTTAAGTCGATTTGGACTATTTGCCAGTTTTCAATAAATATCTCATAATCTAGGGCAGATGGCAAAACTTATGACATGACCTTTTCTATAACACTCAATTCGCTCGACAAAAAAGGTCATTACGAAAATTTCGTTATTTCCCTTAGATTCGGAGATATTCCTCAAAAACTCAGATGAAAGCCAAGTCGACTTGAACCGTGTTACCGCCTCGCTACTGAATTGATTGCTCATAAATTATTTATACAGAATACGTAATGTTCAAAAATTGTAATTTTTAAATTATTTCATCAATCTTCCACCAAAAGCAAATTTTCTTATTTTTTCCCGATTTTTAAAATGTTTTCTAACGATTCAACATCGAGATTCAAATGTAGACCTGCCAAGTTTAAATTAGCTAATTCTATGGTGGAAAATTCAGTAGCGAAGCCGTAAACCGGTTTAAGTCGATTTTGACTATTTGCCAGTTTTCAATAAATGTCTCATAATCTAGGGCAGATGGCAAAACTTTTGACATGACCTTTTCTATGATACTCAATTCGCTCAACAAAAAAGGTAATTACGAAAATTTTGTTATCTCCCTCAGATTCGGAGATATTCCTCAAAAACTCAGATGAGAGCCAAGTCGACTTGAACCGTGTTACCGCCTCGTTACTGAATTGATTGCTCATAAATTATTTATACAGAATACGTAATGTTCAAAAATTGCAATTTTTAAATTATTTCATCAATCTTCCACCAAAAACAAATTTTCTCATTTTTTCCCGATTTTAAAAATGTTTTCTAACGATTCAACATCGAGATTCAAATTCAGATCTGCAAGGTTAAATAATAAAACCATTGTAAAATGTCCGAAAAATTAGCGTCAAATGTGTCTCAAATGAAAGCTGTAATGTTCGACTACAAAAGTAGAGAAGCATTTCACTCGAGGAAAAATCGCCAAATTACTTGGATATCCTTAAGGGGAGACTACTGTGAGTTTTAAAAGTCGTGGGTTATTATTAGAGTAAGACTTTTCATACGTTGAAGATTGATTATATAGATCTGAAAACGAGTAATTAGTGCAAAAAAAATTTTTTTTATTGTTCGTTTGCCCGAAAACGTTTAAAATGCTAAAAACAGTCCAGGGCCTCCAATTTTTGAGCTACAAAAGATTTTTTTTTTTTCAAAATTTTCGGAAAAATGTGTGGAACAACAATTACAAGCCAGTTTTTTGGAATTCGACTCCTACACAGCTGATTTCGTTTTTTTTTCATATAAAAAAATTCACTATTTGTGTAAAAAAATACAAAAAAAGCAAATTTAGCCATGTAAGAGGAGAATTTAAAAAAACTAGCTCGTAACTGTTATTCCACATATTTTTCCGCAAATTTTGAAAAAAAAAAATCATTCGTAGCTCAAAAATTGGAGGCCCTGGACTGTTTTTGGCATTTTAAGCGTTTTCGGGCAAACGAACAATAAAAAACTTATTTTTGCACTAATTATTCGTTTTCAGATTTATATAATCAATCTTCAACGGTTGAAAAGTCTCGCTCCAATAACCCACGACTTTTAAAACTCACAGTAGTCTCCCCTCAACGCAAAACATGAAATGTGTCGAAAAATAGAGGCTCTCTGTATTGCGTAACAGGTCATTTCGTCGAGAAAATGCTATGAATTTTAATGCTAATAATGGAATGGTAATTCAGAGGGATTCGACCATCACTGCCCGTGGGTAGGCAACTGCGTGGGTCGGAGAAACTACAGGTATTTTTATGCATTTATCGTATCCCTGGCATTTCTCTGCGTCTTCATCTTTGCCTGTGCAATTACCCACCTCATTATGCGTGAGTAATTTAATCAACGAGTGTGAGAATTATTCTCTCGAGTTTCATCGTTAACTGATACTGTTTCGCTCTCTTTCCTCAGTTACTAGGGATGAGACTCCATTCTTGGAGGCTGTGAAGTTGTCTCCAGGGAGTGTAATCGTCGGGGTAGTCTGTTTCTTCTCAGTCTGGAGTATTCTAGGTCTAGCTGGGTTCCACACGTACCTCACAACGAGCAATCAAACGACCAATGAAGACGTAAATATCGTTGGATAAACAGTTGCTCAATAAACCTTTAAAACCTTTTGAACTTGTGACATTTATCTCTCTTTCTTTTTTCAGATAAAGGGGTCGTTTTCGAGCAAACGAGAACAGGAGAGTTTTAATCCTTACAGTCAAGGAAACATATGTGAAAACTGCTTCTATGTTCTCTGCGGGCCCGCTCCACCCAGTCTCATCGGTAATTTTGTTTTTTTTATCTCATTTTTTTTTTATTCTCATTTTTTTTTCTTTATCTCATTTTTTCCTATTCAAATATTCACATGCAATCACAATTTTAATTTGTATACTGAGGGGAAAACACGATCTACACCGAGAAGACGAGAGTTTTTTTCGAAGTACGTGTTTACTTGTATCAAAAAATTCGTGGCTCGAAAATTACAAAGCGCACAATATTTCACACCAAGAAAAAAAATCTTAAACCAAAGAATTTTATACTTGTCGGAACGATGAGGGCAATTGGTTTATATCGAGAAAACGAGCACTCGAATCAATTCAAGTGATTTTTGCATTAAAACATTTTAGAACAGGCTAAAAAACTATTGAATGAATTAATTCAGTAACGAAGTGGTAAAACGGTTCAAGTCGACTTATCTCTTAGTTCAGTTTGTGAAGAATATCTCCAAATCTAAAGGAGATAATGAAAATTTTGTAATAACCTTTTTTCTAGAGCAAATTGAGTGCTAAAAAAAAGTCTTGACAAAAATTCAGCCATCTCCCTTAGATTCCGAGATATTCACTAAAAACTTGCCAATTGCCAAAATCGACTTAAACCGCTTTACCACTTCGCTATTGAATTTAAATTTACTTGGTTTGAAAATTGGAGGATTATATCAAGTTTTCTAAAAAAAAATCTCTAAAAGAAATTCGTGAAGAAAATTGACGTTTTCTAGAAATTGCTAAAAAATTTGTTCTCTAAAAATTCGCAAAAAAAATCGGTTATTCTAAAAATTCTCAGCTTTCCGAGTAAAATCAATTCCTCGTTTTTATGTAGGGTAAACAAGTCAATTTCTAGACGGGGGTTCAACTTGCATTGAATATTCCGTAAAGAAAATGAAACTTGTACTGATTATTTCACGTTTCAATAATATTACTTTTGTATAATCACGTGATTAATTATTTTTTCTATTGACCAACATTTAATAGATAAAAAAAATATGGCCCAGCCGTCCGGAAATTAGGGGTTTCACCTGCATTCAACTATTTCTTAATTTAATTATTCTTCGTTTTGTTATTTTAATTTCAAATAATTTTTTTCTGCCAGCATATCCCCATTGAGGTGATTCATTTATTTTAAATCCTACCACGAACCTCGAATTTTCCTTAACCGCCCAACAATGGGCGTGTTCCCTCTATATAAATGTTTCAAAAAGCTGAAAATTTTTTTTATTGTTGGAATATCTCGGGGAAAGCTAGGGCGGACAGCTAATAAGTAATATATATCTGCGCAGAGAATCTGAAATGTAATTTAATAGATTATATTCAATCTTTGCGATGGTAAACTGTAATTAATCTTGAAATTTTGTTGAACCATTACGTTGTACTTTTTCACGTAACTCGTGATAATTATTCTGAAAGACTTCATAAATATTTTCCATCGATTACAGATCGAAGAGGCGTAGTAACACCTGGTTACAGAGCGGAACATGAAAGAGTCGGTGAAGACTACGTAATTGCTAATAATAAAGCCTATGGGACTGTGAAAATAATTCAACCACAGGTAAAATTTCCAAGTTAATTATTCAGAATAAGTGGATAATCGCATTGTTCATACCTGAGCATAGCCATTATTGCTGATAAATAAGCAATGTTATTCGGAATTAATTAAACTCGGATTCTAGTATATTTTCCCCTTCAATAATGGAAATTACTCTTAAGGATATTTCAGTATTTTGGCCATTTTTTCTCCAGTGAAATGCTTTTTTACTTTTGTAGTCGAGCATCACAGTTTTAATTTAAACCACATTTGACTCTAAATTTCCGGACATTTTACAAGGATTTTATTATTTTAATTTTGCAGGTCTGAATTTGACTTTCAGAAAAAAATAGAAAGTTTACTTTTGGAGAAATATTGATGAAATAATTAACAAATAGATCAAATAATTTTTGAAAATTACAAGTATTTTCTATAAGGAATTTATAAACAATCAATTTTCCATCATAAAAATAATTTGTTCGGAATTGTAAACAAATTTATTCACATTTAGAATTTTACCAAAAATCGATTTCATGCCTAAAAAATAAGGTTTTCGAAAGTTTAAACAATTTCAATTGTTTATTTATAAACAACGAATGTTTGAAAAATAGTAATTATGTGCAAAATGGAATTTGAATGACGCTGAATATTCATGATTTTTTGCAAAATTTTCAGAGGCAAATTAAATTGACAAATTTGATGATTGAAATTGTAAATGATCGGACATTTTACAATGATTTTATTATTTAACCTTTGCGAGTCTGAATTGGAATCTCGATATTGAACCGTTAGAAAATATTTTAAAAATCTGAAAAAAATAGAAAGTTTACTTTTGGAGAAAGATTGATGAAATAATTAACAAATAGTAATTTTTGAAAATTACAAGTATTACAATTTTTCACCATAAAAATAATTTGTTCAGAATTGTCAACAAATTTATTCACATTCAGAATTTTACCAGAAATCGATTTCATGCCTAAAAAATAAGGTTTCCGAAAATTTCAACAACTTCAATTGTTTATTTATAAACAGCGAATGTTTGAAAAATAGTAATTATGTGCAAAATGGAATTTGAATGACGCTGAATATTCATGATTTTTTGCAAAATTTTCTCAGGCGAATTAAATTGACAAATTTGATGATTGAAAATGGTTGAATCTGTAATGGGGGCTTTTACAAACTGTAAAAAACACTTGGATATCCTTAAGCCTTCTGAAAGTCTCAATCTGAGACTATGGAAGATCTGTTGTGAGACTTCGGAAAGTCTCAGTGTGAGACTTTCAAAAGTCTCAAAATAAAACTAGTTATTAATAAATCTGAAATAATAAATAAATTTCAGGTAAATGGAAACAGCATTCCACCGATGGACACCGAGCTGAGTGGTTCAATGAATAATCTCGTATCCGGACGTCGTTCTCCGCGAATAGAATCCCTGAACGGTGAGTTGATACTTGTAAGCCAGACGCAGCGTCTGCCCACGGAGATTCCCAATTATCACCAATACCCAAACAACGACACGTACATTCCAAAGTATCCGCGAAGAGTGACTCAGGATCGTGTGCCCTCAGTTCTCTACTACGAATCCCAAAGATTCAACACCACTTCCAGCGAAGGGCACAATTACAATTACCAAAAATATCCGCAAAGGTGTCGCGATGAGTTTCAACGCACCTCCGATAATAATTTGATCCACGATCAATACGCGATTGAACGTAAATACGGAGTTGATTTGAGGAAATATCCGCGTGGATATTCGGCGGATTTATTGAGGCACAAAGACGAGGAGTACAGAAATCATCCGGACCTGCAGAAATTTCCCCAGCGGTATTTCGATGACTCGAATAGGCCCTCGTATTCACCACAATCCATCAAGTACAATAATTTAAGGTGCAATCAGCATGGATTTAAATATCCCATTGCGAAGAACATTTTACCAAGTCGTATTCTTGGCTCGGGGGGCATTCCCATTATTGGGCAGGCAGCTATCGGGCTTGTTGTCAATAAATTTGGATCAGCACCGTTGAACCATGAAATGTCCTTCGCTGATAATTCTTTGTGTTCGGGGGAGGGTATTGAGGATGATATCAATCGAAGGTTTATCGTCGGTTCCATGAGTGATAACGATTGACAATGTTTTTTTATTTTTAATACTACGCGATTAGTCGATGACTCGAGTATTTATTGCGTTGCTTTTATATCGTTCAGTGTTTCAGATCAATCAAAATCGAATTATTAAGAAAAATCGTTTGAAGTTGCCACGAAAAAAAAAATGGAATGATTTTTCTTCAGTAATCAGATTTTGCAGATCGAAATTCTTGAAAGAAATAATTTAAACTCACCTGGGGAAAAAAGATTTTTCGTTTTTTGAGGAAAGATAGATAAAAAGTATTGTTTTTGGAACGTTTTTCCTTCAGTAATCAAAATTTTGTAAATTTGGGATTTAAAAAAATATTTTATCAAGTTTTTTATTCTTAATATTTCTCAATTGGTCGATGACTCGATTATTTGTTGCGTTGCCTTGATATCATTCACCGTTTCAGATAATTCAAAATCAAATACTTGAAAAGAAGTAATTTAAAATTACCTGGGCAAAAAAGATTCTTTGTTTTATGAGGAAAAATAGATAAAAAATCATTTAAACTCACTCTGAAAAAAAATTAATTCTTTGAGACAAAATAGACAAAAAGGATCGTTTTTGGAACGATTTTTTTTCAGGAATCAGATTTTGTAGATCGGAATTTTGTAAATTTTCCATTTCAAAATAATATTTTCCCAGGTCGTATTCTTGGTTCGGGGGGCATTCTCATTATTGGAAAAGCAGCTATCGGACTTGAAAAAAAATCAATTAAACTCGACTCGGTGAAAAATTTTTTTAGTTTTTCCAGGGAAAACAGATAAAAGTTTTGTTTTTGGACCAATTGTTCTTCAGGAATCAGATTTTTTAGAAGTGAATTGTGTAAATTTCTCATTTCAAAAAATATTCGGGCTAATTGTCAATAAATTTGGATCAGCACCGTTGAACCACGAAATGTCCTTCGCTGATAATTCCTCATGTCCAAGAGAGTGTATTGAGGATGATAATAATCGGGGGTTTCTTGTCGGATTGATTAGTCATAACGATTGACAATCTTTTTTTTATCCTCAATATTACGCAATTATTCGTTGACTCGATTATTTATATAATTGCTTTTATCCGATTCTCACGTTAGATAATTCAAAATGAAATTATTTTAAAAAATTATTTGAATTCATGCCGAAGTAGTTTTGTCATCATTATTTCATCTCACTCAGAATTTTTGTGTAATTACGAAAATCCATGCATTACTATTAAATAAGTTCAAATTTTCACACGTTAAATCTAAAACACCTCAAAATAGAAAATCCACAAGTTGATGGGTCATTAAAACGGCGTTTCTTTGTTTATAATTACGACCTATTGTCGAGGGCTCAAGCTCGCGCTATTCGGTAAGTCCATCATCACTTGCATTTTTCATGCACATTTTTTATTAAAAAATATAAACATAATTTTTATTGAATTTTTTTATTAAGTATATGAGGAAGATGGTGATTGTTTTGTTTCTGTGTGGGTGGTTCTTGTGACAACTGGATTTTTGCTCTAACCACCAAGCGTTTGAAATCAAATTTTAATCAAAATAATTAATCAATATTTTTTATCCAATGGATCCGGTGTTGATTGGCAATTGATCCATTCCAGCACGACTCCAAGGGCTTTGTCATGAGCTTCTTGATTTTTGTAACTAATCCACAGGAGTTTGGTTTGCCATTCTTTCACTACCGACATTTATTACCTTTTTATGTGAATTTTAAATATTAATTTTGGGAATACTGGCAGTAATTGAGAAAAAGAAAAGGAACTATGAATACAGCTGGAACAAAAAACCTTCGAAATTCTCAATGAATCATTTCAGAAAATTTAATTGCTTTTTCGGACATATTCCAATACAGATACAGCATTCTCGTGGCGAAATTATGACACACTATTTTTTGACCTACGTCATGTTTTGAATTGCAACTTTGTCTGCAGAAATTTTGATCCTCACCCTTTAATTCCGTAGTGCAGCGGTAAAACGGTTCAAGTCAATTTTGACTGTTGGTTAATTTTCAATGAATATCTCGGAATTTTTATGGGAGGTAGCAATGTTTTTGTTAATTTTTGATTATAGAACGATTACAAAAATTTCGCTACAGAAACAAAAAGAGAGGACCCAGCAGAGGTACCAACTGCACATCCCTTCCTCCGACAATCCTTGAAGCCAATAGTATGAGGAATAATTCAGTAGCGAGGCGGTAAACCGGGTCAAGTCGACTTAGCTCTTCGCTGAGTTTTCGAGGAATATCTCCGAATCTAAGAGAAATAGCGAAATTTTCATTACAACATTTTTTCTAGAGCGAATTGAGAGCTACAAGAAAGGTTATTACAAAAAAATTGCTATCTCTCTTAGATTCCGAGATATTCATCAAAAAATGGCCAAGTCAAAATCGACGTAACCCGGTTTACCGCTTCGCTACTGATTTAGTGTCATTAAGTTTTCAAAGTGTAAATATTTTTGATATTAACTTTTGTAAAATTGTATATTTCGATATACGAGTGAGACGGAATTTTCAGCTCACGAAAACGCACTTTTCGACACGAGGTGAAAGCCGCAGTGTCAAAATAGTATATTTCGATACGAGTGCGGAAAAGTGTTTTTTTGACTCGCCGGAGGTTTATAGCACGAGCCGAAGGGAGTGATACAATCTTTCGAGCCAAAAAACACTTTTTTCATTGTTCGTTTGCCCGAAAACGCTTAAAATGCTAAAAATAGTCCAGGGCCTCCAATTTTTGAGCTACAAAAGATTGTTTTTTTTTCAAAATTTTCGGAAAAATGTGTGGAACAACAATTACGAGCTATTGTTTTGGAATTCGACTCCTACACAGCTGATTTCGGTTTTTTTTCATACAAAAAAATTCACTATTTGTGTAAAAAAATCCAAAAAAAGCAAATTTAGCCATGTAAGAGGTGAATTGAAAAAAAATAGCTCGTAATTGTTATTCCACATATTTTTCTGAAAATTTTGAAAAAACAAAATCATTCGTGGCTCAAAAATTGGAGGTCCTGGACTGTTTTTGCCATTTTAAGCGTTTTCGAGCAAACGAACAATAAAAAAATTTTTTTTGCACTAATTATTCGTTTTTAGATCTATATAATCGATCTTCAACGTATGAAAAGTCTCACTCCAATAACCCACGACTTTTCTGTAGATAAAGAAATCCTAATGCAGAACATGAAATGAAGGGACTCCATAATTTGTCGTAAATCATTTTGTCGAGAGAATGCAGTGTCGGTGCTGAGGTATAGCTAATTTTTTCAACTCTATAGCACTGATTTTTCTTCTAGGCAGTACGACAAATAGCGTGAGCCACCTCGTAACCAACGAAGTTCCACTGGCCTCATTCAAAATACCCCCAATTGACATTGATGAGATAGCCCCATTGCCTTCAAGGCAATCTGGGATCATGTCCTCAGCGAGCGCCAACACTGTATCACCAATGACAGCAGTAACACCACTGTCTGCCTCTCGACTGAGGCTACTTCAAGACACAACTATGATTGAATCTGCCCTGGATCTAGATTCACTCGAGGACTCTAGTGTCGGTCGCGGTAGTCAAATGGGCCTCATAAAAATGGGAGTTGTTTAGAACAAATGAATATTGATTAAGGAGAGACATTTTTTCTAGATAGAGCGAAATTTTTTGAGTTCATGGATGGTAATTCAATAATAGGAGCAGATCCACGTCAAATTAGCAGGACAAGAAAGTTGGTGCTGGGGATTTTCGTCTCAAGTTTTTTCTGAAAAGATGGGGATTAGATAAAAATTTTGAAAAATGAACCATTGAAAAATATGGATAATTGAGGGAGTTATGATTTTTTTTTATTGCTAGTTTAGGTACAAAAAAAATTGTTTTCCAAATTGGCCCCAATTTCTCGGTGGGGTTTCAAGCTATCAAATCGCCCTTTCGCAAACTCAGAGAACGTGAAAAACACTTCATAATGAGAGGTCATACATAACATTATCTTCAGTTTGACGGGGTTTATACGAAAGAAGGTTTTTTTATCGTTAATTACTCAAAGTTCGGCGGTTATTAATTTTTTCATTGAGACAAGTATTGGAAATAACCGAAAATCGCTATTATTCATGCAATTATCGCCCAAATAAGTGAATATTCAATTAAATATTAGCAAATGGTGGAGGTTAGACTCATTATATCTTCTATTATTCATCTTCAGGATGATTTTTTGAGCGAAAAATTATTATTTCTCTAATTATACAATGGAAATACATTTTTCAAAGAGCTTTCATTTGTTGGTAATCGAGAATTTAATTTAATTGACTCATTCTTAATTATTCAATTGAGTATTCACTCATTTGGGGAATAGTTGCATGAATAATAGCGATTTTCGGTCATTTTCAATACTTGTCCCACTGAAAAAAATTATAACCGCCGAACTACGGCGGAAGATAAACTCTAATTGGCGACAAAGTTCCTCTCATTTTATTGACAATTTTTGGTGAAAATTTCAGATGAAAAAAAATTAGCTTTTTTTGTAATTAACGATTAAAAAACGTCAAACTGAAGATAATGCTATGTACAATGTCTCATTTTGAAGGGTTTTCCGCATTCTTTAAGTGTGCCAAAGGGCGATTTGATGGCTTGAAACCCCGCAGAAATATTGAGGCCAATTTGGAAAACAATTTTTTTTTTAAAAAAACTAGCCATTTTCAAAAAAATCATAACTCCCTCAATTATCAATATTTTTCAATTTTTTCTCTTTCAAAATTTTTGTCTAATCGCCATCTTTTCCGCAAAAAATGAGACAAAAATTCCCAGGCGTGGATCTGCTTGTAATTCAGTTGCGAAGTGGTAAAACAGGTCAAGTCGATTTTAACTATTGGTTAGTTTTCAGTGAATATCTCGGGATCCAAAACAGATAGCAAAATTTTTGTAATAACCTTTCTTGTAGAGCGTATTAAGATCTCCAAAAAAGGTTTCTGTGAAATTATCGCCATCTCCCTCAGCTAAGAACTAAGTCGAGTTGAATCGTTTTTCCGCTTTGCTCCTGACTTCACTAATGGGAAAACTCAAATGCGCGGAGAATGGAATGCAATGAATAGGTACAAGTTAGATAATTGTATTATTTTTTTATGGAAAACTTGTTGAATGATGTTATCGAACAATTAGGCACAATTGTAAAGACATTATTGTGATTACGTTCCTTGTGCCTTGCCATTAATTTTAATTTCACGCTGTCGCAAATTTTTACATTGATGGTCTGCGGTATTAATGAGCCATTGGAGCAATTTAATTTTCTTCTTTTTGAGGGGAGGGAACACATAGGAAAAAAATTTATAGAAAAATTTTCATGAAAATTTCAAGAATTCGATAGAAAATTCTGTTGAATTTCTATTAGTTTTTCACCGATTGTATTCAAATATTTCGCAGCTCATACTTTTTTTTTCTTCAATAGAAACGATAGATGGAAAATATTCTATTTAAAAAATCAGTAGAATTTGATTTTTGTATCCAAGTTATTCACATGTTTTCCATAGAAACTCCTTTGATTTAAGTTGATAAATTGTTCTGTTCAATGTTTTCATGGAAAGAAGAGAAATGAAGTGCAAAAACTGGGAAAATTCATGTCGAGGAATTCCTACAGAAAATGTCTCAATAGAACAAGTTGTACGGAAAGATAAAATTCTACAGATTTTTTTTCTATTAAATAATTCCTGGTAATCATTTTCTGCGGAATTCTTCAGAAGAATTGACCAGACACTAGTCGAATTTTTAATAGATCGAGGAAACCCTATAGACAATGTCTCAATAGAAAAAGTTGTATAGAAAGATCTATGAAATAATTCCTGTTAATAATTTTCTGCGGAATTCTTCAGGAGAATTGACCAAACACTAGTAGACTAGTATTTTTAATAGAAATTAAATGGAATTTTCTACAGAATTCGCTAGATTTTGGGGGGAATTTTTGGCACGTGAAATGTTGAAATTACGTGCCACTTTATGGATTTGGGCAGCGTGGATAATTTACGGGTGAGTGAATGGAGATTGAGGGGTAAATGACTTTATTGCAATCACGTACACGCATTACTGTAATAATTGCGCACAATTGAATTGATTTAGTTTGTTATGCTTTAATTGCTTGAGTCCTTTGGTGTGGAAAAAATCGGTTAAATTTTTTCGACAGAACGATCAATATTGGCATTCATTCTTTGAGACTTGTCGTATTTTGCATTAAGAGCTTGTCTATAGAATTGGAAATTCCGACATTCTAATGGCACGTTGAAATGAAAATGTTGCGTTGAATGGAGAAATTGGTAAAAAAATGTGAATAATTTACAGAATGAAATTACAGAGATTTTTTCCGAGAATAATCATTTGGGGAAGTTTAGTGTACAGTGTTATTAGAAGGAGAGAAGATATTTATGTAAATAATCACCGAGATTGTAAATTCGTTGTAAAACTTCCAGAATGGTTTGTGAAGGGTCTAACTAAAAAGACTAGATGAGGAGTGAGATTTTTTGAAAATGCGGGCGGAGAGCATTTCAATGTTTTACATATATATAAGTGAAGAATTATATAGAGATATACGAGAATATGAAACTGACAAATACAATTAAAACCACTGCCTGATAATTCTTATAAAGTAATTTTTTTTTGTATTTCTTGCAATTTCATGCAAACTGCTAATTCTCCATTTTTTCGAGGCATAACTGAATGTGTAAATCTGATTTGTAATACTTTCTGAGTGAACATTCGAGAAACAGTCATTTACTTTGATACCCTTCATCGATACAAGGAGTTGATGTTGATAATTGTTGGAACAGAATGATTGATCGAGATTTTAATTCGCCTTTTGTACATAAATTGTGAAATGACTCTACGTGTATATACTACTACTACATTATACAAATATTATTAGAAAGACTATTATAATATAAATGCAAGTTGAAGAATGGATTTATTCTCTTTTTTTTTTTATTTAAGGCCCGGGTGTACTATCTTTCGAACGTTATCTCCATGTTTTTTTTCATCTTTCGTCATCTGAAATTGTCAATTGAGTGATTGAGTCCTGCATCATGCAGAAGTTTTGAAAAATTATGAATGGATAATCAAAAGAAAGTAGAAGAAATTCTTAATTTTTTCAAAGAGCATTTTTAATTTATATTCAGAATAAGTTGAATAACAAGAAATTGAAAAATGTATCTGATTTACGGTAACAAATGGCGGCCTATCACCCGAGAAGTTTTGACGGGCGGAGATTTTTTCAACAGATTAATTGCCCGTCAAAACTTCTCAATAATTTTCCATTTTACTGAATGGAAAATTATTATTCTTATCAGTACTCCCAAGAATAAAAAAAAGTTGACAAAAAATTTTTTTTAAATGCAATTAAATGAAAAAATAATTTTTTGTCAACTTTTTTTAATTCTTGGGAGTATTAATGAGAATAATACGAATGAATATCTCTTTCTATTAGGGGGGAGTGGGGCAAAATGAAACAGTCAAAAAAACAACTGTTTGACGCAATGCAAGCAAAAAAAATTTGCTTAAATGCAATTGAATAAAAATGTTTTTTTATTCAATTGCATTCAACAAATTTTTTTTTTGCTTGAATTGCGTCAAACATTAGGTTTTTCGGCTGTTTCATTTTGCCCCACTCCCCCCTAATATAGAGAAATGTTCATTCGTTGTTTCTCTCAATGCTTCACCAATGAGAATCTCAAAACGTGGAATGCACTTCACGACATGTGACAAGAATGTTTTCCTCCAGAAGTGGTTTTATTTTTCATTAATAATATCGTATTATAAAAAAATCCATTAATAACGGATAAACATGGTCTCGTGGGCCTTGAGAAATCTAAATTAGTAAAGATAATGGATGATAATGGCAGCTATGAGGAACAGTACTGTAGCTGCTAGGCCAGAGGCGTACATCATAAACTGATTGTTGTCAACAAATTTTCCATGTTCAGTCGGTTCGGTCTTCATCTCGTTCTGACAGTAGAATTCGGAAGGATCTGTGGGTAATCGAGTTTGAGAAATAATTTTCGGGGATTGGAGACAATAAAACTCACCAACTTGCAACTCTAGCTCTTTTTGGACACTGCTCTCTTGGACTTCGAGGTCCAGGAGCTCTTGGAGGGATATGAGAGCCTCTTGGGGACCTTCGCCAGGGAACAAGTAGTCTGATAATGTTATGCGACTCTGGGGTAGGGCGACAAGAACTCTTCTAGGAGGTTCATGGAGAGTGAGGTTATCTGGAATCATTCAAATCAATTTTTCAAGAAAAAATATGAATTTAGTAGCGAAGCTGTAAAACGGTACAAGTCGATTTTGATTTTTGCTTAGTTTTCAATGAATATCTCGCAATATGAGGCAGATAGCAAAATTTTTGTCATAACCTTTTTTGTAGAGCGATTTGAGAGCTACCAAAAAAGTTGTTACGAAAATTTCGATATCTCCCTTAGATTCGGAGATATTACTCGAAGACTCAGCTTCTACCCACGAATTTTCATAAAATTCAGAGAAAAACAAGTGGATAATTGCATTTTTCATGTCTGAGCATAACGATGGTTGCGAATAAATTAGCAGTTTGCTCCAGAAGGAGTGAGATTCTGATTCTAATATATTGAAATTATTTTTTGAGCCATTTGTTTTTCTGTGCAGTGCGGGAAAAAATTTAGGAAATCAGTCTTCATGATATTGGGTGAGAGGCCGCCATTTGTCACTGTAAATCAGATACATTTTTTAATTTCTTGTTATTCAACTTATTCTGAACATAAATTAACAATGCTCTTTGAAAAAATTAAGAATTTCTTCTACTTTTTTTTGATTATTCATTCATAATTTTTCAAAACTTCTGCATGATGCAGGACTCAATTGACAATTTTAGATGACGAAAGATGAAGAGAAAACATCGAGATAACGTTCGAATTTTACCTTCAGGCAATTGATTTTCCTCTTCCAACAAACTATCCCAATGCATTTCCAATCGACTCGCCAAGGACCGCATGATATCTTGTTTAATCGCATCCGTTGCCTCAGCAACAGTTGACTTTTGGTGGACAAAAGTTCTGCTGCCAATCTGCCCCACCAATCTTATCGAGGCAACGCAGTTCACTTCCCTGATTTCCTTCTCCGATTTCTTCGACTGACATCAGGATAATTATAGTACAATAAAAATAACACCTTTGCTCAAATTACCATTTGAATTTGAATTGAAATTCTTTCAGAAATTTCTTTCACTTACGCATGGAACGTAAATAGCAGCTTGGAGTGATTTATCACTGGTATCTGATTCGTTGCTCTTCGATTCCTTCCTCTCCTTCTTCTGATTCCCAATAGTTTCGATTAATTCATCGGACAGTCTCCTGTCACCTTCGATTATAACGAGGGAAGAATTCACTACATCAGCCACGTCCTTGAGGATTTTCTGCAGCTGCTGTTTCAAGGTCTCCGATTCCTGTCCATCGACAATGGGGAACGTCTGGTCGAAGTCCAATCTGGTCTCCAGCTGATACCATTTTGTGATTTTCGCTTGGAATTTCCAATCCGCATTTTTCATTGAGTTATTCGGTTTAACATCGAAGGACTTGCAAACAAATCTGGAAGAGGCAATTCTGTAGGTAGACATTGAGATGATGATTGATTAGTGGAGTGGTAAAACGGGATACTTTGAATTGATGACGTTGTTTAAATTTTTTCGACGAAATGACCTATTACTCACAACGCCCCTTCAGTTTTTGCCACATTTGATGTTTTGTATTAATAATATCCAAGTTTACGGAGTTTTCTTTACGGTTACGAAGGTTATTTTACAATGACTGCATTTTATGATTTCAAATCTGTTGGTCTGAACTTGAATCTCGATATTGAAGCGTTAGAAAACATTTTAAAAATAAAAAAAAATAAAAAGTTTACTTTTCGAGGAAGATTGATGAAGTAATTTAAAACTTGCAATTTTATAAAATTAGGAGCATTTTCCATAAATTATTTTTACCAATTTATCCATATTCAGAATTTTACCGGAAATCGATTTTATGCCTAAAAAATGAGGTTCCCGAAAGTTTAAACAATTTCAATTATTTATTCATAAACAACGAATGTAAAAAAGAATGATAATTCATGAATGTTAAAAAATAATAAATGTGTAAAATGTAATTTGAATGACGCTGAATATTCATGATTTTTTAAAACAATTTTCTCATACAATTTAATCGACAAATTTGATGATTTAAAATGGTTGAATGTATAGTGTGGTCTATCCCAAACTGTAAAAGATACTTTGGCTTTTCTACTTTTGTAGTCGATCAACAGAGCTTTCTCAATTGATTGATTGAGACAGAAGACATCGAAACGAATATTTTGAAAAAAAATTAAATTTGTAGTAGTTTTTGAGATATTTGCGAAAAACGATTTAGAAACAAATGGCGATTTCTCAACAACGGCTGGATCGATTGGGGTGAAATTGAGCACAGAGTTAGTTCTCATTAATACCTACAATCTGACAAAATTTCCGATTTTTTGGAATTATGTTAGTCCTTCAATTCTTCAATTTTCTAAAAGTTGACCACCAGGCGGGCACACGAGATGGTTAAACTTCCTATTTTTACGTTTCAGAAAATTCTACATCATTTCCAAGCACAATTAGACTATCTAAAAACATAACAATTTCAATTTTTCCACTTGGAAGCAAAATAAGTTAGATATTTTGTTTTACCACTTCACTATCTAAGTAAAAAATTCACGCAAATCATGAAAAAGAGTAATATACTTCTTCGTTAAACTGTTGAATGCGAGAATGAGGCTCTCCCGCGGATTATCCCCGTATAAATACGAATTAGATTCAAAATGTTTGTGAAGGGAAGAAATAATGGACTTCAATCGTTGCGTGGAATCATTGTCACTGAAACAGTCACTGGGTCCAACCACAAATATTCCCAGGACCCACATCCCTCCTGGCAACATTCTCGTAACCTAATGAGAATACACAATTAATGTCCCATTTCTTTTCACTAATTAATTTAACTAACGAGGGAAATTTTGTCTCACGTGTATGGCATGGTCTGCAACCCAACTGCTCGGTACATCCTTCACTGATTTTATGGACTTCACTGGGGACTCTTGCTGAACATTAGTCGTCGAACCGATGAGGGTCTCTTCGATGACGTCCTTAGGAGCCGGTGGTGGAGTTCTCGCCAAGTGAACAACATAATCGCGTTGATCCGTGCTCTTTATGAAGTACAAAGACACGAAATTAAAGGATGAAATAATAGGCGTACGAAAAATTTAACAGAAAGATTGCCTAGCGAATTCGCAAGACAATTCGATTAGATTTCTATTCAAGGCCCGGGAGGATTATTTATCGAACGTTATCTCGATGGTTTTTCCATCTTCACAATGTAAAATATAATATAAAATTTACATCAGATTTTCGATCATGCAGGAGTCCCTAAAAATTATGATTGTACAATCAAAAAAAGTAGAAAAAAAATGAACATTTTCAAGCGTTTTTAATGAAGATTAAGAAATAATTCCGATAGAGAGGAAATAGTGAATGGATCATTTATCATGGTAACTAACGATCTGACAGCCATTGACTACTGTGACAAATGACTATCTAACAGCCATTAGACATATCAAATCATTAATTTGCAATTTCCTCCCTATTGGGTTTATTTCCCAATATTATTCTTTTATTTATTTATTATTCAGGGGCTTTGACATTTTTTCAAATGTTAATGAGGGGTTGAAATGTTGATGAAATTAATTTTTTTTTTCAATACAAAGAACAATTCTTTCCCTTTGTGACGAGCCTAAACTGAGCTCAATTGATAAATTTGTTTCTGAGTTATGAATAATTTAAAAAAGGTCCAAGTGTCCATTTTACCCCACCCTCCCCTACGTCTCCTAGACCCCCAATTTTCCAAAATTCAACACCTTGGCTCTGAAAACTAGAAACTTCCTTGCACCGGGTTACTCCTTCATCCGTCAATTACGGTAGAAATCATTCAGAGTTTGTCAACATCTGGTGACACTAACCTCAGCAATTAAACAACTTTAACAAAACAATCCAAACCTGTCCGAGGATGAGGCCGACAGTGTAAGTGTCCAGATCCGACAGGCTGATCAGATAATTGAGGAGGCATTCCTCGGCATAAATCGATCGTCCCATTACTCCAGTATTTGTGGTCCTTCTTGGCTCCTCAAACACGTTTCATCAAATAATCTGTTGAACACATCAGCTGATCACGACTGCATCTGCGTAACCCGCATGTGGCTCCTTTGAGGAGACGTTAATATTTATTCATGAGCAGCTGGAAAACTGATTGACTGATGGAGAATTCATTTTTCGGGAGTCGGTCGGGGTGGGAAATTGATCATTTGCACCCCCAAATTGGAGAAAATAATAAGTCAAGTTCTCGCGGGGAGATATTTTGGAGATGAGCCCATTATCGTCCGGTGGAGGGCACCACCAGTGGATTTCTTAGACAATGAGGTCTCACATAAATGAAGTAAAGATGCTGTGCCATAAACAAACTATATTTATTCAGTCAAACACTTATTAATTAAGTTTTACCATCATATGATGGGTCATGTGACGCATTTGCATCTCTAATAGACCTTTTCATTCTGAGAGTCACTAGATTTGCGGACACTTTTTTCCCATGTTAATTCCCCTAGGATTTGCGGACACTTTATCGAATTTACATATAAATCATGGTTTTTGAGCGCTCAAGTGTATATCATTGTAAAGTTCAATATTTATCAGAATTTTCCATGATTTTTTCGGAGATTTTTTCGTTGAATGAACGAAATAAATATTTCCCTTAGATTTCCAGAATGAAAAGGTCTATTGCGATGTTTGACCCTTGTGAGGCTTGACCCTTGCAACCCTGTCAACGGGGTTGTTCTCGCGCCAGAACAACTGTGTTGTTCTCAATCGCGCCCACTAGCGGTCAAAAAGGTCTAAAACTTCCTTGGTAAATTACTGTTTTTTTTCGTGTAGGAAACTTGGTAAAATACCGGTGGTAAGTAAAATACCCTTGCCGACCAACCCCTGCTTAGAGATGCAAAATGACCGTAATTTTTTAGATCGCGTCATATGACCAAAAAATGACGGTCATGTTACGCACAAATTTTCCAACTACAAATGATTGTCACAAATCATTTGTAGTTGGAAAATTTGGAAAATTGGAAAAGTTGGAAAATTTGTGCATGACGATAATAACTAATTTCCAATTTGTGACGGTCATGAATAAAATAAAATAGTTTCATCTATATGGATGGAAAAAAAACGTGATTTTCATTTCAAAATGCGGATTAGGCCAATACAAAAGGAATTCAACTGAAAATTGACCGAGAAAAAAAAAAGTTTCGTCTATACAGAGGAAAAATGACTGTCATTTTTTCTTGACAAGTTGCGTCGGTCACAGAAGGGGAGGGGGAGTCGTGACAGCCGTCATGAAAGCCTCGTCATGTGACCGTGAATGACGGTCACATGACCGTCATATGACGGGTCATGTGACGCATTTGCATCTCTACCCCTGCTTGCGCTGTTGGCGAGATCCGTCGGTAACGATGAGATCAGACTTGGGCGCAGCCGCCATATTCCAACCGACGCTTTCCCTCCACTTTTCATTCCCGTGGTGCGATGTCAGTTGATGTCAGTGGAAATAACTGTTCGTCTGAGTTTGAAAGTTGCTGATAGTTTACAGTGATTTGCAGGCGCATTTTGTCGGATATTCAGCCTCATTTAGATAATCAAAGGAACTCATTTTTCCTCGATCGAAATTACGAGGATGAGGCCAACATCGGTGGGACGTAAATCGTCTCTGAACCCGGTGCGTGTGTCAACACTGGCTGACAAGGGTTCAGCTCGGGGGGATTCACGAAAGACGTTGAAGCAGAGAGGGTCGTCTGTGGGTGATAGTTCGCAGATACCTAGACCCCGGATTCGAAATGACTCCACCGAGAGGTCCAGCATCAGGCCGTCGACGTCAAGAGCGACAGGTGATTATAATTATCGAGGTGACATGGGGGGGCTCATGTCAAAGGACGATATCCTCTTGCGGATGTCTTCCTTCAAGATCCTTGATTATTATGGTCTTCTTGACAAAATTGACTAGTACACACACTCAGGTGTCATTATTCGTGTTCAATACGCATAAGAGGGGATGGGGCAAAATGGATATTTTTGACGTTCTTTGTTTCTAATGTTTCGTTCGTAAGTTAGGAATCAATTGATCAAGTACTTTGGCTATTTTTAATTAGTGAAATGCTTTTCTACTTTTGTAGTTGAACATCAGAGCTTCCAATTGAGCCCCATTTGACTTTGGGCTTCCGCACATTTTACAATGATTTTATTATTTAAACTTTACAGGTCTGAATTTGAATTAAGATATTGAACCGTTAGAAAGCATTTTAAAAATCTGATAAAATTAGAAAGTTTACTTTTGGGGGAATTTTGATGAAATAATTTGAAAATTGCAATTTTTGAAAATTACGAGCATCTTTGACAAATAATTTATAAACAATCAATTTTCCAACATAAGTCATTTAAAGAAAAAAAGGTTTTCAAAAGTTTAAACAATTTCAATTATTTATTTATAAACAAAGAAGGTTTGAAAAAATAATAATTGTGTGCAGAATGTATTTTCAGTGACACGGAATATTCATGATTTTTTTTTCAAATTTTTTGCACAATTTAATTGACGAATTTGATGATGGAAAATCATTGAATCTATAGACTTGGCCCTTAGCTGAGTTTTCGAGGAATATCTCCGTATCTTAGGCAGATAATAAAATTTTTGTAATGACCTTTTTTGTAGCCCTTGATTCCCTCTACAAAAAAGGGCATGACGAAAAGTTGGCTATCTCCCTTAGATTCCGAGATATTCATTGAAAATTGACCAATAGTCGAAATCTACTTGATCTATTTCGCTACTCAATCTTTCAATGAATTAGTAACATTGAAAAAAAGTCAAGTGTCCACATTACCCCATTCTCCCATACCATGTGATTAACATCCCCTATCCATTTTCCAAAAATTGAATTTTTTCATGTTCGAGCAAAAACCTCAATTTCTGATGATTTTGAAAAAAAAAATGCAGTGATTAAAAGCGCAATTAAACTACTATCACTCAAAATGAAAATTTTTTGAGTGCTTGATACTTCATAGACATCTTTAAAGCGCGAGGATTGTAATTTTCGTGGCCAAGGTCATAAACTAAAACATTTAATTCTCCAAAAATAAAGGGACTCAATTCTATTTAATGGTTCATTCCGTCAAGAAAATACTGCGTCGACATTACCCCTTCATAAAGAAACTGCTAATATTTAAAAAAAATGTAAACTCCACTGACGATAAATTATTATTTCCCCAACAGCCACTCCAGTGACGAATCTGCGCCCCCCCAGTGAGATAGGAAGTCTAGCCAGAGGTCGTTCTCCCTCAGCGGAGCGTGCCAGTGTTCTAGGCACCACAAAGGGTACAAAAAAGGACACGAGACCGTTGAACGACAAGAGCTACCAAAACCTAATGCTGAGTAGGATCGACAACTTCTTCAGCGACACCCAGAAATCCTCGATGCTCAACACTACAGGAAGTTTGAAGCCAGTGTCCCTGAAAATATTCGTCAATGCCTCGGATTTTCTCCTGAAGCTCCTCGAGTACAAGCAGGAATTAAACCTCACCAACTACATGGAGGAGCTTCCAAAAATAGCCAAGAAGCTGCATTACCCTGGAGTAATGGCGAAATCCTGGCTGAAGACAGCCAACACGATGCACTCGTTTCCCCACGTCCTTGCCTGGCTGTCCTGGCTAGTGGAAATTTGCGAGGTCAAGGACTTTGCCAATCAGACGTTCCAGCTCAATGCTCTGCCCTTCAACGACTGTGCCGATGGTGAAGTGATAAATCGCAGTCTTTTCCTGTCACTCCTGGAGCTGTATCAGGTGTGGAATTCTATTTTACAAGATCTATGCGCGCGCTGATCTATTCATTTGTTGAAATGAAGAAGTGGAATTCATTGAATTTCATTTTCTCATGAATACGTTATAAATATTGATAATGAATCAAAGAGAATTCGACTAATGATTGAAGTCAATAGCGAAGTAGAGTAAAAGAATCTTACATTTTCAATTAATTGTCTTCAATTTTTCAAAATAATCGGTCTCCATAGATGGACAGAATTTATTAATTTCACCGATGATATATATACACATGTGAAATATATACATAGCTATATATATAGTATTTTTCCAGCCTGTTGTGATGGGGTTTTTTACTCGTGTGGTTGGCCAGTCCTCGCCTTCGGCTCGGAAGCCAACGCCACACGAGTAAAAAAACCCCATCGCAACAGCCCAGGAACAATATTTTTCTGTAGTGATTTTCAAGTTTTAGAGTTAGGGAAGTATGTAATACCAATTCCCAGACGAGAAATCGTGAGAAGCAGTACAGAAAAAAAAATTTACAACTGAAGAATTTGAAATTATGTCACTGAAGAATTTGAAAATGCCACGTATTTTTTTTTTTTAATAACTTCGTGTCATATATTGACAAATCAGAATTAAGGATTAGCGGTCAGGCAGTTTCGAGATATTTCGATATAAAACAACTTCCGTTTCTTTCATCTTTAGTAAACAGGAGAAAATAGGATTCCTCTGACTGGCTATATCCCCCTCTTGTTGAAGTAGAGTGAATATTAATTCTTTACATCCCTTTGATCTCATTTCAATGGAACTAAAGAAGGAAATTGCAAAGAGAGATCGATCGTCGTCAATCAGTATCAATAAAATGAAAAAATTTATTTTTCTGGCTTTTCGAAATTTTTCAAATTGTTTTCATCTTCTTAAAAAATGAAGGGAGCTTAACATTTTTTAATTTCTGTGATTGTATTCCGTTCACACAAACAGGAACTGCAGAAAATGTAAGGAAGAAAAATCAGAAATAAATTTTAAGAATCGATTTCACAATCTTGAAAATATCAAAACTTTTTTTTTAATAATGAAGAAAAACCAATGTATTTTCTTTCTATTATCTACTTCTGTTGAAAGAAAGTGAAAAGAAATTTTAATTTTTCAATGTCTCGGGAGAATTTTAAAATTGATATATTTTTTCAAATGAACCAATACCCAACAATTCAATTCCTATCCTCACATTTTCACAGAATACATAAAAAAAATAGCAAAGAATTCATTTCGGGAAAGAAAAATTTTATCTAATTTCAACTAATTTAAATTTAACAATAATAATATATTATTCCTTTTCAATCAGGTGTGGAATGACGGTAAAGAGGATGAGGAGAAGGCGCTGGAGGACAAGTACATCGACGGAATGGCTAACCAGTGTGGCTTCACAGACGAGGACGTTGAGCAGGCGCAGGCTGAGCTGGAAGAAACCCTGAGAAAAGAGCAGGCACTCCTCCAGGACGATCAGGTTGTCACTGATCAATTGAACGAACTCACCGAGAAATTGAAGATGCTGACTGAGGATGAGAGCAAACAGACAGCCCATTCGTCAGCTCAGGCGAAATATTTGACTACTATTGAGGCTGAAATGCAGCAGTTGGACGCTGAATCTCAGTTGTACGACAGGGAGAAACGAAAGTACGAGGATAAACACGATGAACTTAACGCAATTATTCAACAACAGGCGATGAACATTGAGGAGAGGGACGAGATTGTCCACCAGTGTTCACAGATTCAGGGGTATATGAACAGTTTTGATGACCATCTTGAGGAGATACAGAAAGAGGCCTGGGCGTTGGATATGAAAGCGTCGAAAGCTCGTGATCAGTTCGATAAAGCTATATTGGCATTCAACAGGGACATTGTTATCAATGTAACCAACGATATTGCTGGGGATTTGGATGAATTGAAGATGCCCGAGACCTTCCCCACGAGGGACATTGTGGAGGCCCTCAAGCAAAAGGCTGAGACAATCAACAATGTGAAAAATACTATTAAAAGGGAGTTGAACAGTTGTCAAACATTTATCGATAAGCAATCCACTAAATTGGAGACACTGCTTGATAAAATCAAAATTCAGGATCAGGAGAAGAATGAAATGGTGTTGAAGAGTAGTGAGACGAGGCAGTATATCAAGAAATTGAAGGAGAATGCTAAGGAAGAGGTGAACAAGTGGCAGGATGTCATTCAGAAGGCGCAGGCTGAGATCAAAGAGCTGCAGCAGTCGTGTTCGGATGATCAGGTGATGGAGAGTGAATTGGCAGAGGCCCAGGAGAAATTAGATGCTGTTATGAGGAGGAAAGTTCATCTGGAGCAATCGGCTCAACGATTTTTTGCAAAGTTTTTTGAAATCCTGGCATCTCACAGGAATGAGCTCCACAAGCAGCTGACAAAATGTCAAACTAATTCTTCGTAAATTTTCGGGGGAATTACTATAATGGGTTCATTGTCTTTTTGCATTCCTCATTTTTACTTTTTTAAGAATTGTAAATACATTGAGGAAACTTATAGACGACATAAATTAGTTACTTTTTAAAAATTCCTCGGGGCTTTGGCCTCTTCTAGGCATGAGATCCAAACAGCTGACTAAATGTCAAGCTAATTCATTGTAAATTTTTGGAACAATTGGCATTATGGATGGATTGTCTTCTTGCATTTTACAATTTTATCTTTTAAGGACTGTAAATATGTCGAGGAAATTTATAGTCGTCATGAATTAATACTCTTCTTAGGAATGAGATTCATACGCAGCATCTATTATTTTTGTGAATAACTGTAAATACATTGCAGAAAACTATAGTTGTCATAAGTTATCAGCATATAGAATAAAGAAAATAAATAGCATTTGATGAGTTCAATTAAATTGAATGAAATGCAGTATTACATTTTTATACGAATTCAAAGAACAATTTGATTGATAATTGAGACTTATTTTAAAAATATTTTCTTGATTCTTTCAGAAACATTTTTGGCGCTATTTTACATAAATATTGCAATTTTTTAGTTAAAAAAAAAGAAATTAGTTGTGTAGGAGTTAAATTTCAAAAAAGTAATTCGTAATTGAAAATTAGAAAAAATTAGAAAATATGAAAATCGGTCAATTACAATAATTTCATCGAGAAGCAAAAATTCTGGTAATGTCATAGAATAACAGGTGCAAAAATTATATATTACCCTATTATTACCGAAAAAATAGTTTATTCAATATATCATCTCTACATTATTCTTCATCTTTTATACATTTATCATCACTCAATTATTCGTCATACAAACTTTGTAAATAATATGATTTCATAATACTTATTGAACTATCCATGAAAAAATATAGTAAGTTCTGACATGCACAATTTGCGCTTGAAAAATTATTAGTCAGATTATGGTAGAAAAAATGCTTATGAATTGTTGGGATGATTTTGTTCTCATCGTGCGCCATGAGTCTTTTTCTTCATGATGTTCTCGATGTACTTGGCTGCCTCCTTTTGCTCCAAGTCCACAAGCAAATCGAGTAAGGTGCTCATTGTGAATCCCTGAACCTGAAAGAACGAGTCAAGTGACATTGTTTAATCTGAGCGTAGCTATTGCTGCTAATGAGTTAGCAATATGCTTCCGAATGGATTGATCTGTGATTCTAGCAGACAATTTTTCTCTTTAATGATCGACATTTGTCTTAAGGCCCGGGTGCACTATCTTTCGAATGTTACCTGGATTTCTTTTATCTTTCGTAATCCAAAATTGTCGATTGAGTGGTACATCATGTAGAAATTCCCAAAAATTATGATAGAATGTTAAAAAAAAATAGAAAAAATTCTGAACTTTTTCAAAGAGCGTTTTTAATTGAGATTCAGAATGAGTTGAAAAAAGTGGAAATTACAAATATCTGATTCGCTGTGGCAAATTATCTATTAGCTGTCATTTTCCATGGTGGATAACAAAACACTAACTCCTCATGGGAAGTGACAGCTAGGTATCTCAATCTTCAAAACAGTGGTATGTAGTCATCTGCCATTTTTATGTGATAAAAGTGTGATTCAAAAATTTTCCAAAATATTACAACTTTTTCAAAGAGCCTTTTCCGTAATAAATATCTCTGAGCAGTGTGGGAAAAGATTTACGAAATCAGTCTTCCCCCTGCAAGACATTGTGTGACAGGCCGCCATTTGTTACCGTAAATCAGATACATTTTTAAATTTCTTGTTCAACTTATTCTGAATATAAATTAAAAATGCCCGTTGAAAAACTTGAGAATTTTTTCTACTTTTTTTTTATTATTCATTCACAATTTTTCAAAACTTCTGCATGATGCAGGGCTTAATTGACAATTTCAGACGACGAAAGATGAAAAAGAAACATCGAGATAACGTTCGAAAGATGGTACACCCGGGCCTTAAAAGAGAAATTTTCAAATGTCTTAACAAGAGTGTACGTTAAGATAAAAATAAAAAGGGTTCAAACAAGTCTTGAGGGAAATCTGACTAGATAGTCGTCTCTTTCGAGACTCCTAAGTACCCGAAATTATGTGAAATTGAACATTACATTAAATTAGAGAAAAGCCGAAAAAAGGAAATATCTCGGCAACTTCGTACGGACAGGTATGCATATTTTAATTAATTAAGATAGAAGACATCAAGACGAATATTTTGAAAAAAAGAAAATTGAAATCGGTTGAGTAATTTTTGAGATTTTTACGAAAAACTATTTAGAAACAAATGGCGATTTCTCAAAAACGGTAGGATCGATCGGGCTGAAATTGAGCACAGAGTTAGTCCTCATTAATACCTATAATCTCACAGAATTTCACATTTTTTTGAATTATCATAGTCCTTTTATTCTTCAATTTCTAAAAATTGACCATCAGATGGACACCACAGTCAAACTACGTATTTTTACGTTTGAGACCATTCCACATAATTTCCAAGCAAAATCAGAGAATCTAAAAATAGAACGATTTCACTGCATCCATTCTGAGGCAATACATGAAAATACCAAAACCGTCAAACCCCAGTAACACAAGATCCTCAAACCTAAGTAGACACTGAGACATAACATACCTGCGCAAAAGTGAGAATAGTCAACGCAGGACTAGCCCCCGACTTCTCCAACGAATTCGACAGAAACGAATGGCAGCCAAGCCGTTGAGCAAGCGGCTTCCACCCATTGTTGCTCTCCAGAATATTCCCCAAATCCGTAATTTCATCCAACTCCAGCCAGTCCAGCTCCCCCTCATTATCCGTGTCCATGATCTCCTCCTTGATCTTGAGTTCAATCTCCTCACCCGCCTCAACCCCCGCCGAAAAAATGTCAACGACATCCTTATTCTTCGACGCAAGATCAAAAGACGACTGTCCCTCGACATCATCCTCATCATTGGAATCCGTCTCCTGCTTGATATCCTCCGCCTCCTCAGCCCCATCAGCTTCCTCCTCATTAGCATGACTGCTCGAGCCCCTCTGGTTATTCCTGATGGATGGATCAGCCCCATGTTTAGTGAGCAGCTTGCAGAGTTCCCGAGCCCGAATTCCAGTATCCACAACAGCCGCATGCAGCGCAGTATTCCCCCCAAAATTCTGTTTATTAACATTCACATCTGTCTTCTCCAGAAAATACCTGACAACCTCGATGTGCCTCCCCTCGACAGCAATGTGCAGTGCAGTACGCCCATACGAGCGCTCTGATTTATTGACATCAGCCCCAGCCTTGACAAGCAGCTCAACAGCCCGTACCGAGCCCGCCTGAGCAGCCAAATGGAGTGCAGTCCGGCCAGCATCATCATGCCGTTCAATATCAACTTTACCTTTAATCAAGGCATCCACACACTCCCAATTCTCTGGCATCTTCACAGCCTCGTGAAGAGCGTACGACCCATGACTGTCGCAGGCATTGGGATCACTCCCCAGAAGCAGAAGAGCTCGAACAATGTCAGCCTGATTGAGTAAAACAGCGTGATGCAGTGGAGTCTTTCCCGAGGCGTTCTCGATGCTAACGAGACCGTTGAGCTCTGGATATCCAGCTATCAGCGTCAGAATGTACTTGGCAACGTCCCTCTGGCCATAGCGAATGGCTGCATGCAGTGGAGTATCACCATGAGAAGTTCTCTCCCTCAGCATCTTCATCACACTCTGATCCAGCTTGAAGTTCTTCTTCAGGCATTCGACAACCTGTTTCAGAATACTAATTGCGAAGTTGGGACCCTCTGGGGCAAGCCGACGAGGTCGTGGCCCGTCCGAAGAGTACTCAGACACAAAGTCTGATTGCGGCTCGGCCAACGACATGTACTCTTCCAGATTGATGTTGTCTAGGCAATCTCGAAACTCAGCAGAGTCGCATTTTTCGTCCAGTAGCTTTCGCAATTCTGCTGATCGTTCGCTCGCTGTCAGGGGCGTCACGAAGGGCTTCCACGTGGCGAGCACGTGATTCGACATTGTTGTGGTTGAGTCGATGCCACTGGACAAATCAGCGCTGTCTGAGTACGACATTCGGGGGCGTTTTCTCTGGAGAAGATTGTTCATTGGTTTGTAAGTGAATTGCATGGGCTCTGAGGAATCGCCGTCTGTTGGCCTCTCCAGCTGAATGTAGACTGTCTTTGGCTCGGTGATGTCTCTGTCCTTGTAAGGGGGTGTGCGGAAGACTATTGCGTACTGGTGGTGCACATCGAGCTCTGAGAATTTTCCGTAGTCCGTCCATATTTCGTTGTCTTTCTCGTCCAGCTCGAAGAATTTGATCTTTATGTTCTTCTTGCCGACCTTTTCCACGAGGAGAAACACCTCCTCGTTGCCAGCACAGCTACTCGCGTATTTGTCGATTCTGCAGATTTTTAGTTCTCCGGTTAAGGCGCTCTTCAGGTTGTTTATTGTGTTCGAGTAGACTGGCTGGCTCTTCGGCTCCATGACGCCGTGCTCGTTGCGGACGAAGGCCTGGAAGCACAGGGCCACGCTGTTCAGGTCCATCCACTTCTGCGCGGATTCCGCTTCCATTCGGATCGCGGTGTCTTCGCGAACGCTCAGGGATTTTCTGGTGGGATCCTTTCTGCGGATCTCCTCGAGCTTCTCGGCTTTCATTTTCTTCATTAACTCGTCTTTTATGTGCTTCTTCGCTGTGTGGATTATTCCCATGCCCACGAAGGAGGCGATGTAGTCGTTCTCCTCGGACACTTCGAGCTCGTAGGGGGTGTCGCTCTCACTGTTGCCCTCGCGCTTCACCAGGTGGTGGGCGTGCGGTATTCGGCGCTCCTCGTTCTTCGTCACGATTGTGCAACGGATTATCATGGTGCCTATCCCGTTTAGCAGCTGGAAGATTGAGGATATACGAGGATATTTTACAGTTTAGAGGCCGGTATGAGTACACTGAGAGACAATCAAACACGGCAAACAAGTCTTGATTGGGCAAGCAAAGGCGCTAGTTGAAAATTGCCGAAAAGCAATTTGTTTGGGTCGAATTTGAAAGCCTCAAACGTGAATAATTTTTCTGCTTTCGACAGCAACGAAAGGTTTGGCTCAAGAGGCGGATAATTCACACCAGACGGGGCCTTTTCAGGATGAAAATATCTCATTAGAGGAAAATTTATCAACAAATATTTTATCCCCAAGTTACAAGATTACTGTATATCATTATTATTGTTTCATTTAAGGGTTCATTTGTTGTCTGTGATTATTAGATAGCCGAAACGATAAACGAAACGAGTAGTGCTACAAATGAACTTTCTTGAATGTACAGAGAATGCATTTTTTTTTGAACTACTAAATCTATTTTTGCGACAAAAATTTTTCATTCCGACGCACTCTCTGCATGTTTGGCACTAAAAATCCTTTTTTGATAATTTTCAAAAAAATATTTTTTGGCACAAGTGAGACTTGTTCGAGAACTTTGTCGTTTTTCTGTCAGTGTAGACCCAGGCCAGATCAGCAGGACTAAAAAGCGAATGCTGGGAATTATTCGTCTCAATTTTTTTCGGAAAAGATGGCGATTGGTCGACAATTTTGAAAAAAATGGGAAATAGGGATAATTGAGGGAGCTATGATTTTTTGAAAATTACTAGTTTTTGTCCGATTTTTTTTCCACATTGGCCCCATCTCTGCGGGGTTTCAAGATATCAAAAACGTCCTTTGGCACACTCAAAGAACGTGAAAATCCCTTCAAAATGAGACGTCATACATAACATTATCTTCAGTTTGACGAGGTTTATACGAAAGACTGTTTTTTTATCGTTAATTACTCAAAGAGCTAATTTTTGAAAAATCTGAAATTTTCACCAAAAATTGTCAATGAAATGTCAAGAATTTTGGCGCCAATTAGAGTTTGCCTTTCGCAGTAGTTCGGCGGATATTAATTTTTTCATTAAGACAACTATTAAAAATGATCGAAAATCGCTATTATTCATGCAATCATCGCCCAAATAAGTGAATATTCAATTAAATATTAGCAAATGATGAATATTAGGCTCCTTAAATCTTCTATTTTCAAAAAATCACAACTCCCTCAATTATCCACATTTCTCAATTTTTCTTTGTTCAAAATTTTTGTCTAATCTCCATTATTTCAGAAAAAAATTGAGATGAAAATCCCCTGCATTCACTTCGTTGTCCTGCTGATTTGACGTGGATCAGCTCCTATATCCAACCATTTTCAATCATCAAATTTTGTCAATTGCATTGCGTGAGAAAAATTTGAAAAAAATCTTGAATATCCAGCGGTTTTTAAATTAAATTTTACACAAAATTATTATTTTTTAAACATTTGTTGTTTATAAATAAATAATTGAAATTGTTTAGACTTCCAGAAACCTTATTTTTTAAGCATGAAATCAATTTCTAGTAAAATTGTGAATATCGATAAATTTGTTACGATTCCAAGCAAATGATTTTTAAGATGGGAAATTGAATGTTTATCAATTATTTATAGAAAATACTCGTAATGGTCAGTAGAAAAGCATTTCACTGGAGAAAAAGTAGTCAAAGTACTTGGATATCGTTAAGATGAGGCTATTTCAGCTCTCAGCTGAGTTTTCGAGGAATATCTCAGAATGTAAGGGAGATGGCGAGATTTTTGTAATAACCTTTTTTGCTGCTCTGAATTCATTCTACAAAAAAGGTGATGACACCAATTTTCCTATCTCCCTCAGGTCCCGAGATATTCATTAAAAACTGGCCAATAGTCAAAGTCGACTTGAATCATTTTACCGCTTTGCTACTGAAATCAGTAGATTTTTCTATTGTTTGCAATATATATTCTACCAACCTTGACAGTCGGCACTTGTCGCTTCCTCCTCGACGTCGAGCTGACACTGGACAAGCTCCCATGTGTCCCCATCATCTCTGATTTGTACCTGAATCGAAATTTCTCGACTGGCTGATCCAGGATTTCGATCTCCGGCGCATCCATGGGCTCAGCAGTGATACCTTGAACAAAAACATCAATTATGTTAAGGGTGCCAAGTGAATTTGAAAAAAGATTCAAAAAAAATTTTTTCTTTCCCTCCATCATTGGAGAAATATGTATTCATCCATCCGACGAAATTTCAAGCCCGCAACCGGAACTAGACATCGAGAAAATAAATGCGGACAATCCTCTATTTCGCGTGACGAACCTCGAGAAAGCATGGGATCAAATGGGTACGGCGGGTTGAAATATCTCTCTTATTCACCCCGGTACCCCATTGTTTTTTGTCGCCATCACATTGAACACATCATTCCCCATATCTTCAAATTTTTTCAAATTTTTCTTGAGTTCCTAGGGGGTTGAAACGTTCAATTTAATCAAAACTCCACAAGAGGCCGTGTATAAGACTGATTTTGTTTATTCAATTTCTCGATATCCATAAGTTCTAAAATTTTAAAATTGTCACCGATGTTCACCATCTGTCTAATACTATTAATTAAAAAAATTATAACTGTTGGTAAATGTCAATTTTCAAGGTCATCGCCAAATTCACTTGGCACCCTTAAATTGTTTTTTTGATCGTCTATACTGACGTCAGTTTTCATTCTATCGGGTTGATTTTGGGCTCAAAATGTGAGAAATCTGATCAAGATTATCGGAACATACATAACTCCAATACCGTCAAAGTGGGCCCTGTTCATGTGGACGCCCACAAATTATCAAGTAGTCAATTCGTTAATATCACTATTAAATTTTAATTGTTGAAGTAGTCACTCGAATAATAGGTACCTCCAGGCTCTCCCAGCCTCAGCAGAGTGCTCTCAGAGCACGACCCCAGGAAGTCCAAGTCCTCAGGTGACGACACCGCCATTGGGGACGCCATGCTGGATGACTCCGGGGAGCTCATGTACGGCGTTGTCACAGGCATGTGAGCTGACGCAAATGAAATATCTGCAGCAAGAGACATCGCATTACACTCGTTATCGTGACAATTGCAATGAGAGAAAAATATAATTCTCCTGACGATATTCCATCACCATCGAATTATAGTCAAAAAGTCCTCAACAATTTTCCATGGGTTACGGTAACTATGGCCGAAGGAGCAATTACTACAATGGAATGTAGTCATTGCAACTATTTTATAGTTCTCCTCACGATAGATTTGTCATGGTTAGGGAAGGGTAGGGTAAAACCGACACTTTTGCCTTTTTTTAAAATATTCATGACGTGTTGAATTGTTCATGAAATGGAATAATTTTATTTTCCAATTGAAAAACAATGATTCCTCTTTGTGATGAGCTTAGACTGAGCTCAATTGATAAATCTGTTTCTGAGTTATGAATATTTTTAAAAAAGTCACAAGTGTCCATTTTACCCTACCCTCCCCTACTTTTGAACTTTGGTTAGTTTAACTGCATTTTGATTTGCAAAAATTACGCTTGTCAAGTTACTATAGGGAAGGTGGGGGTAAAATGGACACTTTTGACTTTTCTAAAAATGTTGATGACAGGTTGAAATGGTGATGAAATTTAATAATTTTTTTTCAATGCAAAGAACAATCCTTGCCCTTTGTGATGGGCCTAAAGTGAGCTCCATTGATAAATTTGTTTCTGAGTTATGAGTAATTTAAAAAAAGTCTAAAGTGTCCATTTTACCCCACCCTCCCCTAATGTTGTGTGCCGCATACAAAAAAAATCGTATCGTTCACCAAAATGCCTCAACTATNCCTTGCCCTTTGTGATGGGCCTAAAGTGAGCTCCATTGATAAATTTGTTTCTGAGTTATGAGTAATTTAAAAAAAGTCTAAAGTGTCCATTTTACCCCACCCTCCCCTAATGTTGTGTGCCGCATACAAAAAAAATCGTATCGTTCACCAAAATGCCTCAACTATTTTCTTGTTGTAGGGTAAACTGCCCAGTAGATGGACGTTTGTTTTTTAGCAAATGAAAAAAAAAATTGATCGAAAAAAAATCGTCACTCAGTGGTGAAGAATCACGACAGTTGGTGAAAATTCAAAGCAACAATTCACATTTCAGTGTTTTTTTGCGTAATTTCTTATCCAAGAGTAGCTCGTCCATCTACAGGGCAGTGTCCATCTACTGGGTAGCTTACCCTGAATCGAATTTCAGATTTTTGTCTCAGTGTATTCACCTGAAAAGGAGAATCCTGGTCTGTTGATGTGGACGATCATCGAACAAAAATTACGCTTGTGAAGTTACTATATGTTATGTGCCGCATACAAAATAAATCGTATCGTTCACCAAAATGCCTCAACTATTTTCTTGTTGTAGGGTAAACTGCCCAGTAGATGGACGTTTGTTTTTTAGCAAATGAAAAAAAAAATTGATCGAAAAAAAATCGTCACTCAGTGGTGAAGAATCACGACAGTTGGTGAAAATTCAAAGCAACAATTCACATTTCAGTGTTTTTTGCGTAATTTCCTATCCAAAAGTAGCTCGTCCATCTACAGAGCAGTGAGCCTATTCACACCGGGGAGTTGGACACGAGTAGAGTTGAAGTAACTCGTCAGTGGAAACACAACGATGAGTTAGTCTCAGTGGAAACGAGACAGAAGTTGGCTATTATTTCCCATGTAAAAGGAAACCCATCGAACTCCTTTGAGTTTATGTCAACGCTAACAACACATCAAGTTCGTACGGTGTAAATAGACTCAGTGATTCACCTGAAAGGGGGAATCCTGGGCTGTTGATGTGGACGACAATCGAACGTCATTCTGCGCATGTCCCCAACTCAGGCTAGAGCAGGCAGAGTTCCAACGTTCGTCCACATCTCGCAAATATAATTACATTAAACTCAAATAAATTACCGTAATTGTAGAAACTCTGGGGGTCGGCGAGTGCATTGTGCAGTAAATTTATGTTGTCGTACTTTTCAGGCATAATTGAACATTGATTTTCAACTCGAGTCGAGGGGACGAGACCGGTGGAAATGGTTTGGTTATAGACACTCGGCGGAATGGGGTTGGGGTTTCAGTAAAAAATTGCAAAAACTGATGAATAAGGGAACATGCGATCGGTTGGAGGAGCACGCACAATCTGACTCGCAGTTGTTGGACTCACCTAGTCGATTGGTGTCTTGCAATTCTTGTTTATCTGGAATACGTCATCCAAGGCCTTGATTAAAAACGCTCGGTTCTTCCCCGAATGGAGCGTGCCGACAGCAGCCAATCACGTGGCAGCGTATCGATGAACTTCGTTGTGTTGGTTCGTCACGCATTCTTAGGTTGAATGTGGGAGGACCGGCGGGAGAGGGAGTTGGAAAACCCGGACAAAGGGAAACCCCCTAGGAATTATGTTTCTTTGTTTCGTTTTTGAAGAATTGTTGGTGGTGAATGCAGAGCTCTGCATTATCGCGCCGCAATGACTACTTTTTTTTATCACAAGATCTGTGCGCGCTTATCTTTTTCTACCTAATTTTTCCTATTTCTACCTAATCTGCCTAATTTTTCCTATTTCTTACTGCCATAAAACAAGTAGGACAAAACAAACACTTTTTTTTATATGCATACGATTTTATGAGATTTATTCAGAAATTGATAATTCGTCCACTGAAAGACTCCAGTAATGAAGCTAAAAACAGGGGGGAATGTAAATGTAAATTCATTCACCTGCGATACGCATGATTCATACAAAATTATCAGGAAACTGAGAGAATATTGTTCATTGTTTACTCCAAGTCAACCCTTCATTTCTTTCCACAGATAACTTTATTAAATCGTTAGAAGTCGTAAAAAATCCTGATTCTACGCGATCGTGATGAAAAATCCCAGATTGAGATAATTTTTCCTATTTCTTACTGCCATAAAACAAGTAGGACAAAATAAACACTTATTTTCTTATAGAAATTGATAATTCGCCCACCGAAAGACTCCAGTAATGAAGCTAAAAACAGGGGGGAATGTAAATGTAAATTCATTCACCTGCGATACACATGATTCATACGAAATTATCAGGAAACTGAGAGAATATTGTTCATTGTTTACTCCAAGTCAACCCTTCATTTCTTTCCACAGATAACTTTATTAAATCGTTAGAAGTCGTAAAAAATCCTGATTCTACGCGATCGTGATGAAAAATCCAAGATTGAGATAATTTTTCCTATTTCTTACTGCCATAAAACAAGTAGGACGAAATAAACGCTTATTTTCTTATACAAATTGATAATTCGCCCACTGAAAGACTCCAATAATGAAGCTAAAAACAGAGGGAAATGTAAATGTAAATTCATTCACCTGCGATACACATGATTCATACGAAATTATCAGGAAACTGAGAGAATATTGTTCATTGTTTACTCCAAGTCTGTAAAACCCTTCATTTCCTTCCACAGATAACTTTATTAAATTGTTAGAAGTCGTAAAAAATCCTGATTATACGCGATCGTGATGAAAAATCCAAGATTGAGATAATTTTTCCTATTTCTTACTGCCATAAAACAAGTAGGACAAAATAAACACTTATTTTCTTATACAAATTGATAATTCGCCCACTGAAAGACTCCAGTAATGAAGCTAAAAACAGGGGGAAATGTAAATGTAAATTCATTCACCTGCGATACACATGATTCATACGAAATTATCAGGAAACTGAGAGAATATTGTTCATTGTTTACTCCAAGTCTGTAAAACCCTTCATTTCCTTCCACAGATAACTTTATTAAATCGTTAGAAATCGTAAAAAATCCTGATTATACGCGATCGTGATGAAAAATCCAAGATTGAGATAATTTTTCCTATTTCTTACTGCCATAAAACAAGTAGGACACTCAACGATGTAATCTGACGAATAAGTGTCATGTCTATTCAATGTAACATCTAGAACCCATGCGACTCCACCGTCAGACCTCAATCATCAATATCATTTCTTCACACCCAATGGTCAGCAATAGCTGAAATGCGATTACAGACGAAGCTGTCTTCGATAACGCACTCGTCGAAAAGTCTGGAGGGGATTGAGTAAACCGATAGGAGGATATATATAGGAGTAGAGCGAGGCAAGCACAGTTTCTTCCTGTCACTCGTCATTCAAGTATTACTGGTATTCAAATAATTTACTCGTAAAAATCCTTCCTCTTCTAAAAAAATGGCTAAGAACGAGAAAATTGGAATCATCGGCAGGTGAGGGCTTGAAATAAAAGGGACCGAAAAGAAATTTTCTCCCCACGAAGTCATGTAATTTTTAATTTTCTTCTTTCGCAGTGGTCTCATTGGCAGAAGTTGGTCTATGCTGTTCGCCAGTGTCGGTTACAATGTCATGATATACGACATTGTTCAGGAACAAATCGACAATGCTCTCAAAGACATTCACCAGCAGCTGAAGAGATTGGAAGCTAACAAACTCCTTCGAGGGTCACTCACTGCTGATCAGCAATTTGCATTCATCAAAGGTAATTTTCCACTGGAAATTAAAACGCTAATTAATTGTTGATGTTGATTTTCCAGGTACGTCCAGCCTTGCGGATGTCGCGAAGAACGCCAAACTCGTTCAGGAGTGCGTTCCTGAGAATCTGGACCTGAAAAAGAAGCTCTACGCCGAGCTTGACAGAGTCGTTGACGACAAGACAATCCTCTCTTCGTCAACATCGACGTTCAGGCCTTCTATGTTCTCTGAGGCCCTCAAACATCGAGCCCAAGTCATTGTTTCCCACCCTGTAAGAATGTCATCCGACATTTTTTGCTATTTAGTTTTTCCTGGTTTACAAGGAAAAATGAGATAGTCGTGTGATTTTTATTACTAGTCCTGAGAGAACTCATTATGTGGGGAAGATTGTTACGCAATCGTGAGATTTGATAAGAGTGAGATAACAGGCTTGTTGGATTTCATTGATTTTAAAAAGTTGAAATGATTTCAGTGATAGAGTGGTAAATAGGACGGAGTTACAGTTTCTTGATGAAATGAGCCTCTTCATTTTTTTATGCATTTTACGTTTTGCATTATGACTTCGTCTGCGGAATTTTAATCTTCACATGCTGATGAAACGATATAGATATTCAATTGTAATAAATTGTAATGTACCATCCTAAGTACATATTGTGCAATTTGAATTTAGTAGCGAAGTGGTCAAACTGTTTAAGGGGAGACTACTATGAGTTTTAAAAGTCGTGAGTTATTGGAGTGAGACTTTTCATGCGTTGAAGATCGATTATATAGATCTGAAAACGAATAATTAGTAAAAAAAAATTTTTTTATTGTTCGTTTGCACGAAAACGCTGAAAATTCCAAAAACAGTCCAGTGCCTCCAATTTTTGAGCTACGAAGGATTTTTTTTTTCAAAATTTTCGGAAAAATATGTGGAATAACAATTACGAGCTATTTTTTTCATTCGCCTCTTATATGGCTAAATTTGCTTTTTTTTTGTATTTTTTTACACAAATAGTGAATTTTTTTATATGAAAAAACCCGAAATCAGCCGTATAGGAGTCGAATTCAAAAAAACTGGCTTGTAATTGGTGTTCCACACATTTTTCCGAAAATTTTGAAAAAGAAAATCTTTTGTAGCTCAAAAATTGGAGGCCCTGGACTGTTTTTAGCATTTTAAGCGTTTTCGGGCAAACGAACAATAAAATTTTTTTTTTGCACTAATTATTCGTTTTCAGATCTATATAATCGATCTTCAACGTATGAACAATCTCACTCCAATAACCCACGACTTTAAAAACTCATAGTAGTCTCCCCTTAAGTCAATTTAGTCTTTAGTTGAGTTTTCCAGAAATATTTCCGAATTCAAGGGAGATTGCGAAATTTTCATAATAACCTTTTTTGTAGAGCGAATTGAGTCCTATTAAAAAGGTTATGAGAAAAATTTTGCTATCTCGTCTAGATTTAGAGATATTCATTGAAAACTGGCCAATAATTAAAATCGACTTGAACCGTTTGACCACTTCCCTACTGAATTTTATATTGTAGAATTCAAACTTGTAAATGTTTAATTTATTGTGTGCTATTCGGAATGTATAATTCAAATATATGCAACTCAAGGAAAACATAAAATCCATAAAACTCGGGCCCCGACTGGTGAATTTTGTTTTCCTTAAATTCCACGTCATATCGCACACAACAGATTAAACTTTTATAAGTTTCAATTGTATAATGTGTAATTGGGTTGGTGCATTTCAATTTAGTAAAATTCAAGATGTATACCGGGTAATCAGAATGTGAGAATTACAATTTCCATAGACAAGGTCTCAACGCAAAACATTAAAGTAGCTCTACCCTTACAGTAAATTCAAAGATTATTGAAAACTGCAAAAAACTGCAGAAAACTCGATTAGATTCCGAATTCTAATTTTTTTCTCAATTTAATTATCGTTTTGGTTTTTCAAAGAAGAAATGTTTAAAAATCATGATTTGGACACTATGTGAAAATCAACATTTCCATCGTAATCAAATATTAAAATCTGATTTTTTTTCATTAGATGTGAAAAAATCAAGAATTTTTTGACACCTCATAAAAAATAATCCACCGTTTTGCAAACAAGTTTCATTATTTATTTATAAAAGGGACATGTTTGAGAAAATATCAATATTTTGCGAAATTTAATTTAGATAATACTGACTGGGTATGAATTTTTTCAAATTTTTTCCATGAAATTTAGTTGAAAAATTTAAAAACTGAAAATATCCAAAAGTACAGCGTAGCTCGGCCGAAGGGTAGAGCTACTTTAAATGTCATCAATTGGGAAAAACGAATGGTTACGTTTCTCCACTCCACTATCGATTTGTTTGCAATAAATGAGAACTGAAAAGTGTTGAATGAGTGATTATTTTTCAGGTGAATCCACCGTACTATGTACCACTGGTGGAGATTGTACCCAGCCCATGGACAAAACCTGAGATTCCTGAGCAGGTGAAGGCCATTATGAAGGAGATAGGGCAGGCGCCAGTGGTTTTCAGCAGGGAAATCGATGGCTTTGCTCTCAACAGAATTCAGTATGCAAATTGTTCAACTGTTTTTCAGAGTGAGTCAGAGTAATATGAATTTACTTGCAGATATGCCATTCTCAATGAAGCCTGGAGACTGGTGAACGATGGCGTTCTAAGTGTCAAGGACGTTGACATTGTCATGAGTGAAGGTCTGGGAATGCGGTATGCATTCTTGGGTGCATTCGAAGCTGCACATCTCAATGCTGAAGGTAAATCCTACTTTACTCACACACCTTCAAAATTTTCATTTCAAAAATTTCAGACGAGAAATAAAAACTTTGTGGCACGTGAGACTGTCAACAAAGAATTTCTCACTTTTTTTCCCATCATAATTTTATATTCAAGTTCCAATGTCAATAGGATAAATTACGTTATGACATTGCATTACGAGGAAACTATTATGAGCTGGAAAATTGCTGGCTGTAAACACTAGAAGAATGAGTGGAAAAAAATAATCCTTATTGGTTTAAACCGCAAAAGCTATAAATGTTGATGATAGTCCTGTGTTGAAAATTGCTAGCAATGGGCAGAATAACAATTACTAATTGTTTTTTTTATTTCGATTTTTTTAGTAGTTAATTCCGTATTTGTTGGAATAATCGTTTGAGTTTTGTTTATTCTTATTGTTTTTTTGTCATCTGAAACATGAAGAATATAAATAATTTGAGAATACATTCGACCCCGAAATTGCCCATTTCGGGGTCGAATTGAGAAAAACAATTCAGCATTACTATTCTACAGATTTTTGTTTAAGGCCCGGGTGTACTATCTTTCGAACGTTATCTCGATGTTTTTTTTCATTTTTTGTCATCTGAAATTGTTAATTGAGTCGTGCATCATGCAGAAGTTTTGAAAAATTATGAATGAATAATAAAAAGAGAAGTAGAAGAAATTCTTAATTTTTTCAAAGAGCATTTTTAATTTATATTCAGAATAAGTTGAACAACAAGAAATTGAAAAATGTATTTGATTTACGGTGACAAATGGCGGCCTGTCACGCAATATCATGCAGGGGGAAGACTGATTTCGTAAATCTTTTCCCACACTGCACAGAGACATTTATTACGGAAAAGGCTCTTTGAAAAAAGTTGTAATATTTTGGAGAATTTTTTAATCACACTTTTATCACATAAAAATGGCAGATGACTACATACCACTGTTTTGAAAATTGAGATACCTAATCGTCACTTCCCATGAGGAGTTAGTGTTTTGTTATCCACCATGGAAAATGACAGCTAATAGAAAATTTGCCGCAGCGAATCAGATATTTGTAATTTCCACTTTTTTCAACTCATTCTGAATCCCAATTAAAAACGCTCTTTGAAAAAGTTCAGAATTTTTTCTATTTTTTTATTATTCTATCATAATTTTTGGGACTTTCTACATGATGTACCACACAATTGACAATTTTGGATGACAAAAGATAAAAAAAATTCCAGATAAGATTGGAAAGAAGGTACACCCGGGCCTTAATTTTGAAAAAATGTCTGTAGTGTAAAAAATTATTTCCATCACAATGTCATATTTCAACTTCAACCCCAACAGGATAAATCACGTTATGAAATTTCACTCGTTTTCCTGCACAAAAATATTTCAGGTATGAAAAAGTACTGCGAAGCCTACAACAAATCAATCTACGATGTGAGTCAGACATTCGGTCCCACTCCCAGATTCATTGGAAAAGAAGCGGAAAATGTTTCTAAACAGCTCGAGGAAATATGTCCCCTGGATAAACTCCAAGAGAGACGAGCATGGAGAGACCTGGCCCTCACTAAATTATCCATCTTGAAGAAAGAGTTGGATCAGGAAAGCAACAAGTAGAATTACTCGAATGATGTGTTCCATCACAGCTTGTAAATACTCGTGTGTAAAGAACCGTTGGAAATAAAATTGGTAACATACCTATGTGGTTTTGTGACTACAGAGGCAAAAAGTTCTTCACGTGTGTAGTGTCATTTTTACACTTTATTTTTTTTTATTTTTTTATTGTTAAAACAGAAAAATTTATCGCTTTCCTCCCACCCTCGGTGCGGCCTTCTGCGTAACCTTGGCGGCTTTGTCCTTCTTGGCTGTGGCCTTTGTCTTGGGAGGAGCTGCAGCCTTCTTCACGGCTTTAGCGGCTTTCTTCTGTTCCTTGGCGACCCTGGATAATGAGACAAAGTGTTTAGCATTCGGACAATCGACAAATACGTGAATTGAATTTGAGCATTTTCTTTTTCTCATGGAATTTTATGAAAGAAAGAAAAAAACATACTTTAATACCTATAGAGCATTTTTTGGCAAAATGATTCATTGCATACAGTGGAGTCCCTTCATTTTGTTAAACATTTAATGTTTTCGATTAAGACTTTGTCTACAGAAATTGTTATCTCCATTTTAATGATATTTTAATGACATCGAATTCTGCAAAATTGTAATAGATCAACTCAATTAACCATTGTGCAAATTTAAGGCTCGGGTGTACTATCTTTCGAATGTTATCGGGATTTTTTTAATGTTTCGTAATCCAAAATTGTCAATTGAGTCGAACATCATGTAGAAATTCCCAAAAATTATGATAGAATGATAAAAAAAAATAGAAAAAATTCTAAACTTTTTCAAAGAGCGTTTTAAATTGAGAAAAGCATTTCACTGGAGAAAAAATAGCCGAAGTACTTGAATGTTGAATGTTTGAGCCCGCAAAGCCAGACAGTGTTACCGAGGTATACAATTCTGGGTGAAGCAGCCCTGAAGTATTTGCTCTAAGACTAACTGAAATCTGACACAAATTAATTGATCGTGCCAGAGGAACAGATGTCTATCTATGAGGCCACAAAAGTATTCTCATGTTCGGTATTTCATACTAACTTGATTGCCTGTTCTCTCTGGGCTTTCCTGATCTCAGGCTTCATGTTTCGCTTAGCCAAGATGTCAGTGAGGGATGCACCCACGATAGCACGGTTGAACTTCTGGGTACGGCGTGTCCTCCTCTTGGCCTGCTCCTCCTCCTGACCCTTCTTGTGTTTACGCCTGGAAAAATACAAACATAAGAGAATTAATAAATTAATCATTCAAGATTTATAAACGAAAACATTAATTATTGAGTTTAAGGGGGGATAGCACTGAAATTTACTTCAGTTTTAATGCAAAAAAATTTAAAAAAATAGCCTTTGAGTGTTTTTATTGATCAGACAGAGGCTTTTGAGGAATAAAATGTTCAAATGTGGTCTCAGGATAGAATTTTTAGCCAATTGACTCATTTTTTGGTTCAGACATACATTATATGTACACAAACATAACTTGATGTTTCAAGAATTTCTATTTTTTGAGTTTTCAATTTTTTTTCTCAAAATTGAATGAGGTAAAAAAATTGGAAAAGTCAGAACTATTCAACTAAATCGAAAAATCGTTGGAGTAGTGATTTATTCAAGATAGGGGAGGGTAGGGTAAAACGGACACTTTTGACTTTTTTTGAAATATTCATGACGTGTTGAATTGTTCATGAAATGTAATACTTGTATTTTTCAATTGAAAAACAATGATTCCTCTTTGTGATGAGCTTAGACTGAAATCAATTGATAAATCTGTTTCTGAGTTATGAGTATTTTTAAAAAAGTCAAAAGTGTCCATTTCATCCTACCCTCCCCTATAATGAGAAAAATAATGAAAAAAATCTCAAACACTTCATACTTCAATAGTTCACTATGTACCCCAATTTGAACAATTTCTCAGATTTTTCACGTGTAGGGGAGGTTGGGGTAAAATGGACACTTTTGACTTTTTTTCAAATGTTAATGACGGCTTGAAATGTTGATAAAATGTCATAATTTTTTTTTTTCATTGCAAAGAACAATTCTTTTCCTTCGTGATGAGCCTAAACTGAGGTCAATTGATAAATTTGTTTCTGAGTTATGAGTAATTAAAACAAGTTTAGAGTGTCCATTTTACCCCACTCGCCCCTAGCAATTTAAAGAAAAACCTTCAAAAGCCCAAAAAAAATGGAGATTCTCAAAAAGTCTCATTTAGTTATATTATTGCGTCTAACCCAAAATTCAAGTCAATCGATTGACTTGACCCCACTTACTCATTTTCCTTTTTCTATTAATATTCATAAAAAATATTCCAAAAATATTTTTAGAACATTTTAAAATCTTTTTAAAACATTTATCATTTCCAAAATTAAAAAATTATAAAATTCACCATTATAAAATTATAAAATTGTTTCCATTCAAAACTAAAAAATACGAAATTCAACAGAAATGTTCTGATAACAATTCATAAAATTAAATAATGAATACCTGTAGAGGACGGTCCATGTGACCTTCCTGGGGTTACGCTTCATCAAATGCGCGGCTTCACACTTGGAGTTGAGGAAAGTGAAGGTCTGCAAAAGCACAACAATTGAATCAGGTTATGTCAGAGTTGTTGTCACGTTAAACCCCCATTCCCATGCATAAAATTCGATCATGAAAAACCAACAACCCACTATCTCACTCAAGACCAAAAATCCCTCCACTCTTTCAACGTAAGTAATAAAAAAACAATAGTGAACTCACTTTTCCATCAACTTTGACCATGGTTTTGCCATGGCCGGGGTAGATTTTGTATCCACTGTAGGCACAGAGACCGATCCTGAAAAGATAATCACAGAATTATGGTCGAACATCTTACTTATCCCAATATCAAAATATTTTCGAAAAATCATGGACGATGGCACATCAACAATCCGATTACTTTTTCCACTCAAAACCGTCAAACTTACTTCATTTTGCTTTACAAGGGGCTCACAGCCACGTTATTCCCGTAAAGCAAACACCAAAATGGCCGATTATCTGGTTTCTTTTTGGCAGCAGACCAGTCCGACAAAATTCCCCAAACAAAATTAAAAATTCCTTGGAAAAAAACAGGGAAAAACATCTTCAGCAATTGGTAATGTCGCGCAGGGTTGGGCAAGTAAAAAATACCAACGGTATTTTACCAAGTTTTCGACATGTAAAAAAACCAATAATTTAATTTGAAGAGGTTTTAGACCTTGTGACCGCGTGTGCGCGTGATTGAGAACAACTCAGTTGTTCTGGCGCGAGAAAAACCCCATTGATAGAGTTGCAAGGGTCATGCCTCACAAGGGTCAAACATCGCAATGGTCAAACCTCGCGAGGATCAAACATCGCAAGGGTTATACCTCGCGAGGGTTAAACGTTATAACGGTTAAACAACAGAGGTAGGCAGAGGACAATCTCAAAGGTCAAACGACAACAAGCGGCAACCGAGGAGGCAGGAAAGACAATCACAAGGGTCTAACGGTTATGAGGGTCAAACAAAAGGAGCAGGAACGAAAATCATCAAGGGTCTAATGGGAGACATGATCCTTGTGAGGTATAACCCTTGCGACCTCTGAACCTTGCAACGTTGACCCCTTGTGAGGTATGACCGTTGTGACGTTTGACCCTCACGAGGCAGAATCCTTGCGAGATTATGACCTGTGCCACATTTGACCCTCGTGACGTTTGACCCTCGCAAGGTACAACCCTTGTGAAATTCAGTCACGAGGGTTACTGCACTGATAGTCGGGTGAAGGGGTTTTCTACCAGTTATTTACCTTTTTCCCCTAGAGGTAAATTACCAATATTCTACTAAGTACCCTAGACAACTCCGATTTTCAGTGAACGACCGACCCTGCGTAGCTAGAGATGCGAAATGACCGTTATTTTGTGATTGTGTCATATGACTAAAAAATGACGGTCTTGTGACGGTCATGTGACGTCCCGAAATTTCTAATGGCAAATGACGGTCACATGTGACCGTCACAAAGAATTTTTGACCGTCAAATGAGTAAAATAGTAATTTCCGTTACCAAACCATCTATATAGATGCAAAATGACCGTCATAAATATATTGCTTTTGTGACGGTCATATAATTTCTACATAATTGGCATCGTTTATTCGTTCAATTTATTATTGATTATCAATTATTGTTTATTATAAGGTTCTTATGGAAGGCTCGAAATGTATGTGTACAACTGTACAACAGCTTTTTTTAATTATAAAATTATGAAACATGTGCTTACATATATTTTTGCATACTCATGAGAGAATGATTACACTTTTCATCTTTGGAACAAAATAAACGAAGTCAAGAGTTCTAGATGCTAAAGTAAGTAAACAAAGTCAAGAGTTCTAGTAAATTAAAAAAAAAATAGATGAACAAAAAAGTGTTTCATCTATACAAAATGACCGTCACAGTTTTTCGGCCCATGTGACCGTCATGGAAAAATTTTTGTGACCGGACCGGCGGTCATTGGGGCCTCGTCATGTGACCGTCAATGACGGTCACTGACGCCTTCGCATCTCTATTCGGAACGTCAAAGTGGCGCCCCCTGCCGTCGATTTCCCCTCGATCTGATTGGCTAAAACTGCAGTGACGTCAATGAGAACGGAAATAACCCCCATTGATTCCCCTCTGTCACACCCGTGGTTTTGTGCTCAGCTGGTTTCTCCTTACGTTCATAGTCGTTTTGGCAGGAGTCTTGCTGGTGTGCGGCAAAGGCAAGAAGCAAAATTTCGTCGTCGTGTGAATGTGTATGCGTGTAGTGTCCTCACTCACCCAGAGTTCGCTCGTGGAACGTCATAATACGCATTCTCAGTTGGTGTTACGGGTGTGGGAGTCAAGAACAAAGATATCAAAGTTGAAATATCAATACACCAACGGCAAAAATCAAATTGATAAACCTAGTTTCGGTTAATTTGTATCCTTCCCCATTAATCACGGAAGCTGATAAAGTTGGGAGTACGCGTAACGGTATTGTGCAAAGAGGGCGGCCTTCGGTGCTGACAAAAGGCCCCGTGGAGGTGAGATTTTTCATACGCAGCTAGCGGAGTTGAGGAAACAGTTTCAGATCCACCGAGTGCTGGACACCCACATCCACAGTGGATTGAGTGATCATTGTAATTGTTTCAATATTCGCAATTGACTCGAGTAAAGTTTGTTATTTTTTTTTTGTGATATCGAGTACTGATTTGGAGCACGGAACAAGGGAGTGAGAGAGATAAAGAGGATAGGCTCAAGTGCAGACGTGTGCGAGTTGTTGCCTTGGAGGTCATCGGGAATAAATTTTTATTTTTTATTCGAGTGACGGTTCGGCACATCACAAGGAACAACTGAGATGTCTACACCAGCGAGACGAAGACTCATGAGGGACTTCAAGAGGTATTTACACTTTTTGAGTGACACTTTAAATTGTTGATGGGCTGGGAGGGGAGAGTGCATGAACGAGGTTCATGGATTCGCATTGTTACTCGGAGAAAGTGAACACACACAGTTGATTATTCATTCGCATATGTTTGGGGTTTCTCTGGGCAACTCTCGAACGTCATCCTCAGCATCATCATCGTCATGCCAGGGGTTATTATTAGATTTCAAGTATAACGCCATCTCAACACTTTATTTATATTTATCTGGTTGGTGTTGCTGCTGCTTGGGTGCCTTCTGTTTGACTCGGGGAATATTAAATGAGGGCTTGAATGAAACGATCGATTATCGTGGTGACATTGGCGGTGGGCAAAAAATAATGGAATGGCTAAAATGGTGCACAACGCTGGCACTACGGTTTCATGAGATTATTGCATGAGTCATGTGCTCATGTTTCTCTGAGTTACAGCGAATGACTTGGGGGGGATCACTTGGGGAAAATTGGACGAGGGATTTCAAGGTTTCAGGGGTTCAAGGATTCTGATGTTTTTGGAGGTTTCGTGACATCTTCGGGAAGCTATTGGGGAGGGCAGGGTAAAATGGACACTTTAGACTTTTTAAAAATTATTCATAACTCAGACACAAATGTATCAATAGAGCTCAGTTTAGGCTCATCACAAAGGGAAAGGATTGTTCTTTGTATTAAAAAAAAAAAAACATTGAATTTCATCAACATTTCAACCCGTCACTAATATTTTTAAAAAAGTCAAAAGTGTCTATTTTACCCCAACCTCCCCTAGTGTTTTGAAGAACTTCGAAGAATTTTATGGAATTCCACAGGATTCGGAACTTTTTTTTGGGATTTCAAGGAATTTCTGGGGGTGTAAGCGATTTCATGAAATCTTTTTAAATTCTTTGATATTTCAAAGGTTTTCAGAGGATTCCGTCGTATTTTAAGGAATTTCAAAGGATTTTGGACCATTCTATAGAATTTCAAAGGATTTCGAAAAATTGTAAGCGATTCCATGAAATCTTAATAAATTCTTTAATATTTCAAAGGTTTTCAAAGGATTTCGTAGTATTTTAAAGAATTTCAAAGGATTTTGGACCATTCTATAGAATTCCAAAGGATTTCGAAAAATTGTTGTAAGCGATTTCATGAAATCTTTATAAATTCCCTAATATTTCAAAGGATTTCGTAGTATTTCAAAGAATTTCAAAGGATTTTGGACCATTCTGTAGAATTTCAAAGGATTTCGAAAAATTGTTGTAAGCGATTCCATGAAATCTCTATAAATTCTTTAATATTTCAAAGGTTTTCAAAGGATTTCGTAGTATTTCAAAGAATTTCAAAAAGGATTCTGGACCATTCTATAGAATTTCAAAGGATTTCGAAAAATTGTTGTAAGCGATTTCATGAAATCTTTATAAATTCCCTAATATTTCAAAGGATTTCGTAGTATTTCAAAGAATTTCAAAGGATTTTGGACCATTCTATAGAATTTCAAAGGATTTCGAAAAATTGTTGTAAGCGATTCCATGAAATCTTTATAAATTCTTTAATATTTCAAAGGTTTTCAAAGGATTTCGTAGTATTTCAAAGAATTTCAAAAAGCATTTAGGACCATTCTATAGAATTTCAAAGGATTTCGAAAAATTGTAAGCGATTCCATGAAATCTTTATAAATTCTTTAATATTTCAAAGGTTTTCAAAGGATTTCGTAGTATTTTAAAGAATTTCAAAGGATTTAGGACCATTCTATAGAATTTCAAAGGATTTCGAAAAATTGTTGTAAGCGATTTCATGAAATCTTTATAAATTCCCTAATATTTCAAAGGATTTCGTAGTATTTCAAAGAATTTCAAAGGATTTTGGACCATTCTATAGAATTTCAAAGGATTTCGAAAAATTGTTGTAAGCGATTCCATGAAATCTCTATAAATTCTTTAATATTTCAAAGGTTTTCAAAGGATTTCGTAGTATTTCAAAGAATTTCAAAAAGGATTCTGGACCATTCTATAGAATTTCAAGGGATGTAGAACAATTGTTGTAAGCGATTTCATGAAATCTTTATAAATTCCCTAATATTTCAAAGGATTTCGTAGTATTTCATAGAATTTCAAAGGATTTTGGACCATTCTATAGAATTTCGAAGGATGTAGAAAAATTGTTGTAAGCGATTTCATGAAATCTTTATATATTCCCTAATATTTCAAAGGATTTCGTAGTATTTCATAGAATTTCAAAGGATTTTGGACCATTCTATAGAATTTCAGAGGATTTCGAAAAATTGTTGTAAGCGATTCCATGAAATCTTTATAAATTCTTTAATATTTCAAAGGTTTTCAAAGGATTTCGTAGTATTTCAAAGAATTTCAAAAAGGATTTTGGACCATTCTATAGAATTTCGAAGGATGTAGAAAAATTGTTGTAAGCGATTTCATGAAATCTTTATAAATTCCTTAATATTTCAATGGTTCTCAGAGGATTTTATATTTTTAAAAAACTTCAAAAGATTTGAAGCGTTCACAGGAGCATTCACAGGATTCTGAAATATTTGTTGGGGTTGCAAGGGGTTTCATGAAATCTTCATAAATTCTCTAATATTTCAAAGGTTTTCAGAGAATTCTATAGTATTTTAAAGAATTTCGCAGGATTTTAAGCGTTACCTGACCGTCCTCGTGACGTCATGACCGAAAAATTGGCCTCGAAAGCTGAACCTCGACTGATTTTCAATCAATTAGCATAAGACATCTAGACAATATTTCTCCATAATTTTCGTCGTTTAGCTATCCACATGTTACGAGAAATGTGTGAATAGGGGAATTAAGAAGAACTGAGCTTCATTCAAGTTCTCTATTGTTTGATAATATATCTATCTCGTACTTAATTACAGTTATATCCATGTACATTCGTATTTAATTGCTGTATAGATTACAAGAGGACCCACCAACTGGTGTCTCCGGTGCTCCCACTGACAATAATATCATGATATGGAATGCCGTTATTTTCGGGTGAGTGCAACTCTTTTCTAGACATTTAACGGCTGAAATTTCGACCAAAGAAAAGTCTTTCTTGGTTTACACCTCTACGTGGAAAAAAAATCACACGAGAAATTACCGTACAATCTAGGTAATGGGAGAGTGAAATTGTACTCGAGGAATTTTTATTTGTAATCAAAGAGAAATGTGAGGCGAAGGCAGGAATCGACAAAGATAGCCTATTAGATTGATAGTAATTTAGAACGTTCTTAATGAATATCGAAGCGAGTAATATTATTCACCTCTTTGTGCGTTGAAAATATTCTTTAGAGCTATTTTTAACATTAATTAATATAGTAATAATTTTCAGAACATTCTTAATTTCTTTAGAATTGTCATTTTTTATTTACCTCAGCCTTTCGGTAATTCAGTAAAATTTAGTGCAAACCAATCAAATTTAGTAGTTTTTGCTTCCGAATGGAAGCCTTGTTTTTGAGCGATTCTTCGATTTTCTAATTTCGAGTGCAACTGGTCTAGAATGTTATGAAACGTGAAGAAATGGTGTTTTTAGGGTCATGTCTGGATGTATGTATCCGACAATTTGGGTTTTGGTGATTAATTTTTCGAAAATTCAACAGAAATACGGTGAAATTTGTAGATGAAAATCTGGAATTTTGGCGCATTGTAGCTATTATTGAGCTCAACTTTGACGCGCAGTTTCAGCCCGATCGGTCCAGTAGTTCCTGAGATATAACAACTTCTTTAAATTTCGTTTTTCCTCAATGTCACATGCCTTCTGTCGGATAGGCTCGAACCCCTGCTTTTTATTTTTGAAAAGATCATCTTCAGTGATCGTTGTCAATCCTTCTCAGAATATGTATGAACGTTATACATAAAAAAAATTATGTACGGAATAAATTATCTTCATAAATTTATTTTCGACGAATATTACAAGAAATGTTATTGTCGACCTCTAGGGAATGTAGAAATTTTGGCCTTGGTAATATAATTTCTCTTAAACAAACAGGAAAAACTTTGGGCTGTGTCGTTTAAAAGTACAAGATAGGCCAATAAATATTGCCGCATTTTCAGCGTTTCAATTTTTATGACACACCGTTCAGTAATTTCTACTAAATTTCTCTTGGAATTTTTGTGATTTTTTTTCTCCACGTGAAATTATAAATTATGTATAACGTTTCATTGGTTGTGTATGCTTTTACAGACCTCACGACACACCCTTCGAGGACGGTACCTTCAAGCTTACTATAGAGTTCACAGAAGAGTATCCAAATAAACCACCCACAGTTCGATTTGTTAGTAAAATGTTCCACCCGAATGTTTACGCAGACGGTGGCATCTGCCTTGATATCTTGCAGAATCGTTGGAGTCCAACTTACGACGTCTCTGCTATACTCACATCAATCCAGGTAATATATATTCTATATGGGTAGTTCATGTTGAATCAGTCGACCCCTGACCCTCATCCCCGAATAATAAAGGGGATTTTTGTAATAAAGGGACCGAAGTATTATCTTTTGGACATTATCTAGATTTTTTTTTCCATCTTCATAATCTGAATATCACAACTTCCATTAGAGTTTACATCATGCAGGAGTCCCATAAAATTATGATTGTACAATCAAAAAAGTAGAAGGAAAAATTGAACATTTTCAATGAGCTTTTTGAATAAAGATTGGGAAATAACTCCGATAGCCACTGGCTATTGTGACAAATGATGACTTATCAGCCATTTGATACAGTAAATTATCAATTTGCAATTTACTCTCTAATATTGGGTTTATTTCCCAACATTATTGGAAAATAATCTTTGAAAATCTTGAGAAGTTTTCAACGTTTTTTTGATTGTATGAACATAATTTTTGGAGACTCCAGGGCTATGCAAATCTTGATGGCAACTGGAGAACATTTCACATTATCGAAATAAGCCGAAACAACCGAGATCACGTTCGAAAGATCACGCACGTGAGCCTTAAAACAATATCTCCTGATTTTTTTTTAGAATTCATCTTTAGCCGGGGTTGGAGATATGATTTTCCGTGTTTTTCGAGACTTTTCCTTAGCATAATTCGCGTTCCAATAACTATTTTATGTTTTCAAACACCAGAAAGTTTCATTTTTCTGCCGCTTTGAAGATTTTTTCGGATGAAATTCTTGTTTTGAGGCCTGAAACGGTGAATTTTCAACAGAAAAAAAGTAGAGAAAATATGATTTTTCCAATTACGTCACATTTTTTTCATTCATTTTCTTCTCATGCATTCTTACATCTGAAACAAGTATTTTGAGCTGTACCAGAAGTTGAGCAAAGTCCTAAATCCATTTTATTTTAACATTGGTTTTTGGAATTTCCCATTTTTCGTTGAGAATCCTTACAAAGTCTCTAAATAATGTTGATTGTTACAGTCACCTTGTAAATGCCACAACGAAGTGTTATATTTTTATCATATTCTCTGCTGAACAGATTTATGCCCGTAAGATTGGAATTTGCGCTGTTCAATTCTACGAAAGATTCATTCAAACACTAAGAGAGAAATGTTGAAAATTTGGAAAAAATCTATTTCTATAAAGCCTCGTAGTTTTTTTTCCGTTCAAGTTTTTATTAGAAAAAATGAAATGGTGTTTTCAAGTGCTGACCTCATACTCCACCAGGAGAACAAATATAATAAAAAAACGTGTGTGTTTATATTTTACTGTATATTATATATTATATATTATATATTATATATTATATATTATATATTATATATTATATATTATATATTATATATTATATATTTTACGAATGAAAAATGTTGATTTCTTAATGGAATGAAGTAACGTGAGTGCAAAGACACTAACAACTGATATGAAAATCTTTCCCCTAATCTACACCAAACGCAGAACTGAGATTTCTACTCGGCCAATAGTACCCAGAAGCCTCTGAACATAATTACTGTGTTGGATAAACACCACGGGGTGCACTTATGTAGGTATGATAATTAAGAGATGAGTAACCCCGGTGTAGCCGCAAACCGTTAAATAATTAGTGTTTGAAAGTATAATCACCATTATCGAAAGACAATAAATATTCCCAACTCATTTTCAGGGATGGCCATCAATGATACGATTCTTCAATATTAAAAGAATTTCCGACTTATACTGATTAAGGTTTAAATCACTAGCGAAGCGATAAACTGGTTTGAGTCGACTTAACTCTTCACAGAGTTTTTGAGGAATATCTTCGAAACTAAGAGAAATAGTGAATTTTTCATTACCACCATTTTTATAGCCCTCAATTCGCTCTACAAAAAATGTTTGCAATCTCTCTTAGGTTATGAGATATTCATTAAGAACTGATTAATAGTCTAAATTCGCTCGACCCGGTGTACCGCTTCGCTACTGAAATATACTCATCGAAATTAAAAAATAGTAAAATAATTGATAATATAAATTTCCAATTGATGATAAATTAAATATTTGACAGCATGGAGCTGTAAATTTCCTATTAAGTAAATAATACTAAATTTTTTAAAAAGGATTTTCGATTAAACTCAATAATTGATTAATAAAATAATTCGGAATTGAAATATTTAAATTCATGATTAATTCAATAATTAAAAATTCGGAAGTGATTTTAGCGAATTGACTACTTCAAAATTTAACGGTAATTATAATTTATGAATATGGCTATCCCTGCTCAATTTAACAACTCGACAAACAAAAAAAATGACAATAAAATAGATTCAGAACGTTGTCCAACTCCTAGTATGGCTTAAAACACTTGTTTCGAATATGTAAATGGATGAAAACGAAATGAAAGACAAAACGTGACGTAATTGGATAAATCCATATTTTCCAACTTTTTTTTCGAAATTTTGTGTTCTAATAAATGTGAGAAAAACGCAAACGCCCGAAAGGAGAACATATCTCTATGACGAGCTGTAGAAAAATTCGACATACAATTTTTTAACCCTTTCAACCCTGTAAAAAAATCTCGGTTAAGGGTCGACCGATTTAACATGAAATACCTCATGTCTCTCTCTCTAACTAACATTTCTTTTATTCATAAATATTCAGTTGAAAACCTTGACTGAACTTTAATTATAATATATAACAGGCATTTGTATTAATCATCATTTCTGAGATTGATTAAAACGAATAACTCTTGAAATAACTCGATGAATGAAAAGTCTGTCATCAATTACTGACGAATCATCAGTCGTCGCCTTAACAGCGGTTGCAATTCAGTAAAGTCTCTGATCAAGTCAGTATTCATATTTTTTATATTTTATTTATCATTTTGTGGTTAATTTTTGTCACTTATTGGACTGAAATAAATGAAAAATACCATCAAGCTGTGCAAACATCTGTTCATGATTGATCTAATCATAACCCAGAATTAAGGGGAGACTACTATGAGTTTTTAAAGTTGGAGTGAGATGTCTCATACGTTAAAGATGGATTACATATGTATAAAAACGAAAAATTGGTGCAAAAAAAATTTCCATTGTTCTTTTACCCCGGCGATTTTTAGTTATAGAGGTTTTTCAAATTGAAAAAACTGGGCAGAATCACATACGAAAATTTCATAGAAAAACCTGGCGAATTAACTAGAGAATTCTATCAGATTTCTATCGAATTTTCTATTAATTTTTGGCCGATTTCATTGAACAATTCTGTGGCTTATCCGCTCTTTTTTCAGTAGAATATTCAATGGAATATTTTCTGTAGAAAAAATTAATAGAATTCGATTTTTCTATGCAATTTATTCTTAAATCTTCCAATTTTTTTTCTTTGATGTTTTTAATGAGAAGAGAAGAAAAGTAGAGTGGAAGAAGCGTAGAAAATTCATGTTGAGGAGTTCCCATAGAAAAAATCTAGAAAGATGAAATTCTACTAATTTTTTTTATAGTGTAGTTTTTATTAGAAATTTTATGGAAAAAACGCAGTAGAACTTAAAAAATTCTTCGATAGAATCGGCCGAAAATTAATAGAAGTTCAATAGAAATTCCATTTTCGATCGAATTCCGTAGGTTTTCCTATGAAATTATTTGCGAATTACTTTTTACAAAACAATTTTTTTCTGAAAAATTGGCGATTAGACAAAAATTTGGAAAGAAGAAAAATTAAAAAATATCAATAATTGAGAGGATTATGATTTTTTTTAAATGGCTAGTTTTTGTTCAAAATTTTTTTTTCGAAATTAGCCTCAATTTACAAAAAAAAATCACAACTTTCTCAATTGTCCATATTTTTCAATTGTTCTTGTTTCAAAATTTTTGTCTAATCGCCATCTGTTCAGATAAAAAATCAGACAAAAATCCCCAGCATCGACTTTTTGTCCTGCTGATTTCTCGTGGATATGCCCATATCCAAATAGGCAATTTCGTTTTGGATTAAATGCTGACATTTTTTTATTTCCCGATTTTTTTTCGATTTAAAACCAATTCAAAGTATTATAAATATTTGTTTTGCACTGATTTCTCGTTTTCACTCATATTACTCATATATAATCGATCTGTAACGCCTGAGACGCCTCACCCCGACAGCCCGAAACTTTGAAAACTCATAAAAGTCTCCCCGTGACTTCATCAAAACCCAGAATGATAAATAAATTGGTAATTGGTATTGTTGACTTGTGTGATTGCAGTCGCTGTTAAGTGATCCGAACCCGAATTCACCTGCCAACTCAATGGCAGCACAACTGTATAAAGAGAATCGACGCGAGTACGAGAAACGAGTGAAGGCTTGTGTCGAGCAAAGTTTTGTGGATTAGTCGCTGATTAATTTGGCATCATCGCGTCAACATCCACCATCAACGTACTACATCATTTGTGAAAGCGATTGTCCAGCCTTACTGAGGAGTTAACGCTAACCGCTTAGCACGTCACTCCCTAAATCAATTAATGAGAATGAAAAATTGAAAAAAAAAAACGATAAAACATTAAACGCATTGGAATAATCAGGCACCAAAGCTCTATGAACTATCATCAGTTGGAAAATTAGGAACAAAATTTTTACCACTCTGTACGATGAATTGTGATGGAAAATTGTGTATTTATTTATTTGATTTTCAACGGATAATGCGGTACGAGGGAGTTTAATGAGAAGGACAGATACGAGGGAAAACCAATAACACGAGACAATTAGTAATTATTAAATTCTAGGGTATAATAAAATAATAATTGTGTAGTTATATTGTGTTATTATTATTCTGTTCTTTTTCAAAACAAATGATTCGTTTGATAGAGGCGAATGTTCTGTACGAGCACAGAGTTGTTATATCTTGAATTCAATTCTGGCACTTGGTATCATACCTAAATTCACCTATACATATATAAATATATATACACATAAAATAATGAGAAAGGAAAAAAAGGAATAAAACGCATGTGATGCGAAAATCATTTTCTTTATTCGTGTTTAATCCTGATTTGAGAATTTTTTCACGTGGATACGTCTATGGGGTCATTTTGGAAAAAAGTCTTTATGCAGTATCGAAAATAGGGGATATCCATAAATTAGTAGCGAAGCGGCGAACGGTTTGAGGCGATTTTGACTAATGGCCAATTTTCAATGAATATCTGGAAATCTGAGGGAGATGGCAAAATTTTGGTATGACCTTTTTTGTAGATCGAATCATAATTGTCCGAAGCATTTAGGTCAGAGGAAAATAGAATAATTCTACTTTCTTAATGTTGCGTTTACTAGGGTTTTCTTCGAACAAAGTTGAGTAGAATTAACAGCTAGAATTATGAGATTGTCTCACATTTTGGACGTTGAGGATAGGAGAATCTGAATGCAAATAGTGAAAATGATGATCGAGTTTTTCACTTTGAACGAATAATATTCATATCCAAATACAAAATTTCTGATATGAATGAAAAGAAGCTGTGAACTCATTATTCCAAATGAAGTTTTAATTTTTAATTTGGTGATGAAAACACGAGATGACAATATTCTAAGCACAGAATTAGACTGATGAGATGAATATCTGGAAATCTGAGGGAGATGGCAAAATTTTTGCATGACCTTTTTTGTAGATCGAATCATAATTGTCCAAAGCATTTAGGTCAGAGGAAAATAGAATAATTCTACTTTCTTAATGTTGCGTTTACTAGGGTTTTCTTCGAACAAAGTTGAGTAGAATTAACAGCTAGAATTATGAGATTGTCTCACATTTTGGACGTTGAGGATAGGAGAATCTGAATGCAAATAGTGAAAATGATGATCGAGTTTTTCACTTTGAACGAATAATATTCATATCCAAATACAAAATTTCTGATATGAATGAAAAGAAGCTGTGACTCATTATTCCAAATGAAGTTTTAATTTTTAATTTGGTGATGAAAACACGAGATGACAATATTCTAAGCACGGAATTATATTGATGAGATGAACAACAGATTAATTGAATTACCGTGTGAACTAACTAAAAATTGATAACAGTGCGGGCACGCACTTTTACCAGAGTTTCAACAAACATCGAATTCCAGAAATTCACACTCTAAAGTGTGTTCTAGAAGGAATTGAATTGNGGACGTTGAGGATAGGAGAATCTGAATGCAAATAGTGAAAATGATGATCGAGTTTTTCACTTTGAACGAATAATATTCATATCCAAATACAAAATTTCTGATATGAATGAAAAGAAGCTGTGAACTCATTATTCCAAATGAAGTTTTAATTTTTAATTTGGTGATGAAAACACGAGATGACAATATTCTAAGCACAGAATTAGACTGATGAGATGAATATCTGGAAATCTGAGGGAGATGGCAAAATTTTTGCATGACCTTTTTTGTAGATCGAATCATAATTGTCCAAAGCATTTAGGTCAGAGGAAAATAGAATAATTCTACTTTCTTAATGTTGCGTTTACTAGGGTTTTCTTCGAACAAAGTTGAGTAGAATTAACAGCTAGAATTATGAGATTGTCTCACATTTTTGACGTTGAGGATAGGAGAATCTGAATGCAATATAGTGAAAATGATGATCGAGTTTTTCACTTTGAACGAATAATATTCATATCCAAATACAAAATTTCTGATATGAATGAAAAGAAGCTGTGACTCATTATTCCAAATGAAGTTTTAATTTTTAATTTGGTGATGAAAACACGAGATGACAATATTCTAAGCACGGAATTATATTGATGAGATGAACAACAGATTAATTGAATTACCGTGTGAACTAACTAAAAATTGATAACAGTGCGGGCACGCACTTTTACCAGAGTTTCAACAAACATCGAATTCCAGAAATTCACACTCTAAAGTGTGTTCTAGAAGGAATTGAATTGTAATTATGATTAAAATCTTATTCAGTGAGCAAATCATTTATTGTAATATGAAAATTTAACAGCTGATAAATTGGGACATTGTGATTCTTATCAGTCGTTTTGCTTTTTGCAATGAGAATGATTATAAACAATTAATTGGAGAAAGGAATATCGAATCTGACAGGAGAAAGGCCATAATGAAAGGGTATCTGTGTAATAATTCGGAGAAACACAGTTGTTTTCTAAAAAAATTCGGAAAAAATTTAAGAAAATTCGGGACGTTTCCAAAAAAATTGAGAAAAATTGATAAAACCAAAGATGAAAGAAACGTGAAGTTGTTTTAAATCGAAATATCTCGAAACTGCCTGACCGCTAATCCTGAATTCTGATTGGTCAATCAGTCACTTGAAGCAGCCGCTGAAACAAATCCCCAGTATTTTCAAATTCTTCAAATGCCAACATTTTTTTCTGCGTCATATTTGTCATTTTTTCGTGTGTGAAGTTTATCTTTATATCAAAACACATATCTAAATTGCGTAGTTGTTGATCATGAGAAAAAAAACATAGTATTTCTGAATTTTTTCAACTCACAAATTATTCTTCACTTCCCAAATTTTAATTTTTTTATATTTATCATACCCAAAAATGATCAATTCTCGCTTCTCAGATTTTCATACATAAATTCTAAACTCTACAAAATTCATGAAAATTCTTCGGTTTCCCAAATAATTTGAGAAAAATCCTTGAAGGTCTACGTTTATCTAGAAAACTGAAATTTCCCGAAGAATTCAAGAAATTTTTTCAGCTTCCTCGGAAATTAATTCATAACCCTCCCCTCATTTTTCAATAATTACAAATTTTAATCAGATTATTTTAAAAAGTAAAAAAAAAAAGAATTAATCGAAGATTAAAAATTATTCATTGATGTTTCACTCTTCGTTCTCTTAACTCTTCAAGTCACTATCAATATTTATAAAACATCTACGACTATATGAAGTTCAATAAATTCGATTTCTTAATTTTGACAACGAATAGATAAGCGTGCACAGGTCTAGTTGATAAAAAAAGAAATGAGGTTTTCAACAGAATTTGGAAAAAATCGGCGATTTTTCGAAATAGAGAAGGAAAAACCGTAGACGTATCCTCGTAATTTACAGCTGTACGGAAAATACAGCGCCCTGCAATTTTTTGATGTTTCTTTTTCTACTTCACTTGATATGTTTCAGTCGTTATTGGACGAGCCAAATCCGAATTCACCGGCGAATTCACTGGCAGCGCAGTTGTACCAGGAGAACAAGAGAGAGTACGAGAAGCGTGTTGCCACTGTTGTCGAGCAGTCCTGGCTAAATTTTCAGGAGAGTCACGTAGACGATGCCCGTTGACATTAGTCCACAATGGCAAAACCTCCAGACGCCATCACTGGAGACATCCAGACGCTTTCAATCTCATTATCACATACGCATGATCCATCCCCATGATCGAAAAATACGTTATCAGAAATGAGGAGATGAAATAAACCAGTCAAATCTGTTCTAGCTGCTCGCCGACGCGTACTAGTTATAGTCCGGATGGCCGTGGTGATCCTGTATCAGTGGCGGTGGTCATGAGACTTTATGAGGGATTTTCATGGTTTTTGGGTTGTTACTTCCGAAAAATCAGACGTTGTGATTGTTGTTAACAAGGCGGAGATGAAACGTTTATAGTTTTCAGTCAAAATCTCTGAACTTCAGGACCACAGAATGACATACAGATTTTTTAAGCAGTTTTTCGAGCTGTACGTCTTCAATTCAGTAGTGAAGTGGTAAACGGAGATGAGTCAACTCATCTCCCAGTTGAGTTTTTGAGGAATATTTCCGAATCTAAGGAGGATAGCGAAATTTTCGTAATTACAATTTTTGTAGCACTCAATCAGCTCCACAAAAAAGGTTATAACAAAAATTTTGCTATCTCCCTTAGATTCCGAGATAGTTAAAATTGACTTATCTCTTTTTACCACTTCGCTACTGAATTATATCGAGAAACTCGTGGCTCGTGGCTTGAAAATTTTCAAGAGCAAAATGTCTTGCACTGAGCGATCGTGAAAGTTTATAATGTGTTCTAGATGAAAAAGTGGAAAAAATCGAAGATTCGAGATTTTTGGAAGATTCTAAAAGCTCAAAATCTACAAAAACGTCTAAATACCTCAATTTTCGACCGATTATGTTTAATTTTCACTGAAATTTCAGGAAATATTGCCACTGAAAAATAAAATATTCCACTGATTTTCGATCCGAATGATCTGAAAATCAATAAAATACTTGATTTTTCAGTTAAATTATTCCGTAAAAATTCAGGGAAAAATTGAAAATTTGTCATATTGTTGCAAAATATTCATGTTCCATTGAAATCTTAATCAAGTTGTGAAATTTCATTTTCACTCCCACTGAAAACTCATTAATTTTCTTGAATTCTACCTAAAACTTGAAATTTCATAACCATTTTTCCCCTAAATCCGATTCAATGTCACTCTGCAGAGAATTACTATCGTATTTTCCATGAAATTTAACAAAATTTCTAAGAATGTACAACAAAGTTGAAGCGGAAATTTTGACTCCAAATTCCTCACCCTCAAAACTGCGCAAAAAATGTCTGTAATTTCTCTTAGAATATTGTATGAGTCAAAAAGGGGCGGAAGGGAATTATGACAGCCATAATAAATATCTCATCATGTGCATTTCTGCTTGTGCTATCTTGAAATCAAAAGGAGATACGTCGAATTCACAAAAGCCACAAAATTCCTTTACTAGATTGTGTAGAGTTCATGATGATAATTGTCTCTTCAATCTCTCCTAGTTTCATTGCAAGACCAATTAAAACAATTGAATCGTTAATAACAATTGCAACGACATTTACGAGGGATTTGCGACGCAAAAAATATGGAAACCTTACACGAAATTTCCTGAACACTGACACCGATGCAGAATCACCATAGGCGCAAGGCCTAGTAAGAAAACAATGAAACGAACACAGTTCCAAAATTAGCTTCTGATTCAGAGCAGAATCAACATTAATCCTCTGCCCTGTCATTAAAACTCATGTGATGATTACTTATAAGTATATTATGATATTAATTTTGTGTATTCACTTATTTCGTTGCGCGTAGAATTGAGGTATAACTTGCGAATTATAAAATAGAGAGTGTGAGGTGACTTAATAAAATGATTATACACAATAATAATAAAATTCAATGGATTTAGGCAAAAGTTGGAAATAATGTTACGGAGTATGACCGATTTGGATTTATTCTACTTGTAAAGAAGAAATAAATAGGAATATTGCAATCCCGCGATACTATTTCTCTCATTTTCCATAATTTTCTTTTCTAAAGCTTAAGGTCTAGAATTATGTACGATAACGAAATAAATCTCAAATTACGTTTCATTAGGAAATTAAACCAACATCTTTATTGAATTAATTAAAAAAAACTAGTATGTTAATCAAGTTATGAATCTGTTAAAATACATGTAATGCTTATTTACAATCGGGATATTTTAAATGTCACATGACATCCTCCTCCTTGAACTCTCCATATGTTCAATTGAAAATGTAAAATAATACTGCCACTGTGAGGCTGTGAGACAACTAGGTTGTCAGAATTTTTTTAAATCATTCACTGGGAGAAAAAATGAGCTAATATCACAGAAGGAATTTCTTGAGCTATGAAAATCGCATAAATACCATAAATAATTCTTTTACTATTTTCATTCATTTCCTTGTCTCCTGACACGATAAGACACCATCTGTTGAGTCAAGAAATTCTCATTTCATCGTGAAGTGGTCGTGCTAAAGTCATGAACACTCCACAGAACTCGTAGATGGCCTGTCTTATTTTACAGAATTCTAGGCCCAAAACGTTTATCATCAAAAGATGATATTGTTGGCTCCAGAAATTTGCTTTGTGATTTTAGTCCATTCATCTCTCAGTGTATAAATTATTATTATTTTCGAGTGGGTAATCACTCCGAAGCAATTTGTACAGGATTTCAAGATTCAATATTTCAAGGATTTTGAAATAATCTTTGAGATTTCATGAAATCCTGAGAAATCCTCAAAAATTCAAAGGATTTTAAAGACACTCTGAGAAACTCCATATACTTTCAAGAAATTGGGCAATTCCATGATCTAAACCGATTAAATTTTGCTGAGAATTTCAAAGATGTCGCGAAATTCAGTAGTGAAGCGGTAAAATGGTTCAATTAGATTTTGATCATTAGTCTTTTTAATAAGTATCTCGGAATCTAAGCCAGATAGCGAAATTTTTGTTATAACCTTTTTTGTAGGACAGATTAAGATCTATAAAAAAGGTTTCTACGAAAGTTTCGCTATCTCGCTTAGATTCGGAGATATTTTTCGAAAACTCAGGTGAAAGTGAAATTCGAAAGTTGCAGGGAGAATTATTAGGGGGAATTATTTTTTATACTTAAAAAATCTTTAAAATAAGCCCCTTACCAGGATTTTCAATGGATTGTCTTGAATTTTGGTTTCTAAACACATAATATAATGACGAAAAAACAATGACATTTAAAAAAAATGTCAATTTTCCATTTTTTCGATTTTTTTTCTCAGAATTGGGGGAGATAATCACATTCTAATATGGTGCAAATTGAAGGCTATGACGCACCAATGAACCACAATTAAAAAAAATATTAATATGGCAGTTTTGCAAAAGAAAGGATCAAAATTTTTTAAAGAATTATAATTTATTGGTGTATCACGGGCTTCAGTTTGTATAATACTAAAATCTGATTGTCTCTACCATTTCTGAGCAAAAAATGGAAATAATCAAAAACTTTGAATTTTCGAAAAAGTTCATTTTTTTTTTCGTCACTATATTATGTGTGTGGAAACCAAAATCCAACTCAATCCATCGAAAATCCTGGTAAGATGGTTATTTGAAAGATTTTATGCCTGTACAGCCACATGTCATCAATAAAAAAAAATTAAAACTCTATTTTCTCTCATTTTTTGAGTAAAAAAATGGACTTCTCTACTGAATTCGTGAATTTCTTCACAAAGCTTCTGAAATTGAAAGGCATTTCACGATATTTCAAAGAATGTCATTCAATAATCCACAGGATTTCATGGAACCCCAGCTACTTCAACGGCTTTCATTCAATATTTTACATAATTTCACGGGATTTCAATACCATTTACACCCCAAATTTCACGAGTGATTACCCCTCGATTATTTTCTAGTGCTTTTCAACAAGAGTGATGTTTCTTCTCCTCTGGAATGGACACCGAATGGCCAATTATTCCTCGAAATATCCTGTTCACCTAAACCATTTTCTTAAATGATTTCTCAACGATTCTGTCCCTGCTACGATTTCTCCTCCTTCTCCTTGTTGTAGCGTTCCAACTCCTTCAGAAATTGGGCCTTGGGTTTCATGACATTTGGTCTGTCGCCTCGGCACTTCGGGCAGAACCATTTGCCCTTTGGTTTTGTACTCAAGGAGACACAGGAGAAGTGGAACCACTCGATGGGGCAGAGATCATTGTCACAGAGGATCATCTCGCCGTACGATATCTGGTCGCAGAGGCAGTAGGTCGGCTCGTCTGGGTCCACCTGGATGTCGTCGTCTATGGGAGGTGGCGTGTCCTCTCGCTGCTGATTCTGCTGATTGCCCTGACGAGACTTTCGTTTCTTCTTCTTGCCAGCTGCTGCTGCTGTCGTCTTCTTCTGATTGCCATTGCTCGTATTCGATAAGCCGGTCGAGCGATTTTCTGACATCACCATCATGTCTATTCCACTGGAGTCTGCGAGATTGTCCGTACGAGTTCTTCTCGCACGTTTTGGCTGACGTTCCACGATGTTGGAGTTGCCTGTCGTTGTGGAGTTGGTGGTGGCTGTGGCCTCACGATTCGTATCGTTGTTCTCCTGCTCTTTTCCGAAATCTGGGGAGGGGAAGACAGTTGATCTTGTGAATTTATTGTTGAATATTTTAAGGATGTTCGACACCCTTTCAGCCAAAATTGACGTTGTTCTCATTTTTCTGGCAAATTATCGATGGGAGTGACGTGAAAAAATATAACGATTTTGTGGTTTGTCATTCTTTAATGGCTCACGAAGTTGCGTAGTGGTGCGATAATTTTCATGCGTTTTTTCTACAGTTTTGTGATTCTTTTTAAAAGTTTAGAGAAAACGCAGGAAAATTTCGCACCACCTTAAAATTTCGTCAGTCATTAAATAATGACAAAACGCAAAAATGTTATATTTTTTCAGGTCAATTCTATCATAAGTTTGCCAGAAACATTAAAAAAACGCGAATTTTAGCAGAAAGGGTGTAGAATATCCTTAAGGCCCGGGTGTACTATCCTTCGAACGTTATCTAGATTTTTTCATCTTTCGTAATCCAAAATTGTCAATTGAGTGGTACCTCATGTAGAAATTCCCAAAAAATTATGATAGTGATAAACAAAATAGAAAAATTTCTGAACTTTTGCAAAGAGCGTTTTTAATTGAGATTCTGAATGAGTTGAAAAAAGTGGAAATTACAAATATCTGATTCGCTGTAGCAAATTATCTATTAGCTGTCATTTTCCGTGGTGGATAACAAAACACCAACTCCTCATCAGCTAGGTGACAGCTAGGTATCTCAATTTTTAAAACAGTGGTGTGTAGTCATCTGCTATTTTTATGTGATAAAAGTGTGATTAAAAAATTCTCCAAAATATTACAACTTTTTTCAAAGAGCCTTTTCCGTAATAAATGTCTCTGTGCAGTGTGGGAAAAGATTTACGAAATCAGTCTTCCCCCTGCATGATATTGGGTGACAGGCCGCCATTTGTCACCGTAAATCAGATACATTTTTCAATTTCTTCTTGTTCAACTTATTCTGAATATACATTAAAAATGCTCGTTGAAAAAATTAAGAATTTTTGCTACGTTTTTTTGATTATTCATTCGTAATTTTTCAAAACTTCTGCACGATGCAGGACTTAACTGACAATTTCAGAGGAAGAAAGATGAAAAAAAAACATCGAGATAACGTTCGAAAGATAGTACACCCGGGCCTTAACACAACAATTTATCTGGGTTAATATGTTCTGTGTTTTTTATTCAATTTTTGGCTAACGTTAAGGCCCGGAGGGATTATTTTACGAACGTTATCTCGATTGTTTTTCCATCTTCATAATGTAAAATATATCGCTATTTCCATTGGATTTTACATCACGCAGGAGTCCCTAAAAATTATGATTGTACAATCAAAAAAAGGAGATAAACAAACTGAACATTTTCAAAGAGCGTTTTTAATCAAGATTAAGAAATAAGTCCGATAGAGAGGAAATAGTGAATGGATAGTTCATCATGGTAGCTAACGGCCTGACAGCCATTGACTTCTGTGACAAATGACGACCTAACAGTCATTAGATACATCAAATTATTAATTTGCAATTTCCTCCCTATTGGGTTTATTTCCCAATATTATTCAAAAATGCTCTTTTGAAAATGTTTAGCTTTTTTCCAACATTTTTTTCTAATTATTCGTTTTCAGATCGATATAATCGATCTTCAACGTACGAAAAGTCTCACTCCAATAACCCACGACTTTTAAAACTCATAATAGTCTCCCCTTAATGTTATCAATAAAATGCTGTGTCAGTGTTGAACTACACCGACGAAATAATAAAAAACAACCCAGAAAAATTGATTTCACTCCAACCAATAATGCAATAATGATCTGATAGTTACCTAAATTACGATAATCAAGGTCCAATTGACGAGTTTTATTCTCGATAAGATCCTGAATCTGCTGGACAATTTGGAGCTTCTCATCTCCAATTTCCTGAGCTGCTATGAGTGACTGCTGGACTCTCAGCAGTGCTCGTCGACGTTGCGTCACATCGGTGTCAACTTTGAGGTGCTCCTGCTGTTGGTCGACATCCCTGAGGTATGCTGAAGAGTACAACGAAGGATTGGTGAATGAAAATATAACGAAAACTTGAAATCAGAGGATCAGGACGTCCAATTCGCTGGATGTGATCAGAATAAAGTACTCGGATTTGTCGTGGCTCTCGCTGGGAAAGAACGATTTTATGAATAAAACTTACTCTGACATGTGGCGTCCAGCTCACGTAAACGAGACACATATCTTTGAACGTCGTTTGGAAGATTTTCAACGCAATCCAGGTAATTCTCGATGTATGTGGCTGAGTAGAGTGCCTCAACGACTGCTTGATTCAACATATTTGAGGTTCAATTGACGATTTTTTCACTGAGAGTTATTTTTCATCGTTCACACAGGATTATTGGTGATGTTCAAGTCCAGTGCCATTGAAGTTTTTCGATATTTATATCGTTACACACAGTTTTTGGTTCAGGACAAAACAAGATACGAAAAATACGAAAGCATTCTGGGATTTTGAAAAGAATAGAGGCGAAACTCGGGGGTAAATTTGTGTGATGAGGCGGGGAATGTCAACGTGCTGCCATCTACAGATGCAAATGCGTCACTGGTAGAGATGCAAATGCATCACATGACCCGTCATATGACGGTCATGTGACCGGCAATGACGGTCATGTGACCGGCATTGACGGTCACATCGCGAGGCGTTAATACGGCTGTCACAATTCCCCCTCCCCCTTCGTGACCGTCACAACTTGTCAAGAAAAAATGACGGTCATTTTTCATCTATATAGATAAAACTTAATGTTTTTCTCGGTCAATTTTGAGTTGAATTCCTTTTGTATTGGCCTAATCCGGATTTTGAAATGGAAATCACAATTTTTTTCCATCCATATAGATGAAACTATTTTGTTTTATTCATGACCGTCACAAATTGGAAATTAGTTATGACCGTCATTATGCAACTATATAGATGGTTTGACAACAATTTGTGACAATCATTTGTAGTTGAAAAATTTGTGCGTCACATGACCGTCACAAGACCGTCATTTTTTGGTCATATGACGTGATCTAAAAAATGACGATCATTTTGCATCTCTAGTCACTGGTCCGTCATATAATGGTCATGTGACCGTCACATTTTCAAAGAAACAATGACGGTCATTTTTCATCTACAGCATTTTTTATCAATTTTCATGTGAATTCATTTTGTATTAGCCTAATGTGTTCATAGAAATAAAAAAAAAATACTTTTTACCAATCCACTCCATGATTAACTCTCATGGATACTATTTGCTACCCATAATAGACTACAATCGTTTAAAGAAGTTTGTAAAGAACGTGAAGTTGCATCCTGTATAAGTCTAGATATGGAATGCAACTTCACGTTCTTTACGAACTTCTTTTGACGATTGTACATCCCAGCAAACAATATGTCGACAATGTGTCGACAAAAAAAGGAAGTCTATAAAGAACGTGAAGTTGCATCCTGTGGAAGTCTACATGGGACGCAACTTCGCGTTCTTTACGAACTTCTTTCGACGATTGTACATCCCAGCAAACAATATGTCGAAAATGTGTCAACAAATTACCGACAAAAAAAGGAAATTTATTAAGAACGTGAAGTTGCATCCTGTATAAGTCTAGATATGGAATGCAACTTAGCGTTCTTTACGAACTTCTTTTGACGATTGTACATCCCAGCAAACAATATGTCGAAAATGTGTCGACAAATTGCCGACAAAAAAAGGAAGTTTATTAAGAACGTGAAGTTGCATCCTGTATAAGTCTAGATATGGAATGCAACTTCACGTTCTTTACGAACGTCTTTTGACGATTGTACATCCCAGCAAACAATATGTCGACAATGTGTCGACAAATTGCCGACAAAAAAGGAAGTCTATAAAGAACGTGAAGTTGGATCCTGTGCAAGTCTACATGTCCCGTTAAATTTTAGATAGCACTGGCAAAAATTGTTTTCTGGGATGGGATTCAGGAAACAGATGAAAAGATCAATTTCACGTTAATTTTTAGGTGAAAATCAATGAATGTGACTTAGTCAATTTAATTTTATTATTTTGGCTTTTTTGGGTTCACATAGCGGCTGCGTCCACGTAATTTTTATCTGAATCTCCTGTGAAAAATTACGATACCGTCACTTAAATTTTCAGAGTCGATTCTGTAACCGGTGAGCGAATTGGAGTTCCGTAATTTTTACTGAACATTTCTCTCCGTGCGATAGCGATCCCACAGAACGGGAGTCCGGTGTAAACGTTAAAGTAGCTCTACCCTTACGGTAAATTCAAAGATTAGTGAAAACTGCAAAAAAATTGCAGAAAACCCGATTAGATTCGGAATTCTAATTTTTTTCCCAATTTAATTATCGTTTTGATTTTTCAAAGAAGAAATGTTTAAAAATCAGGATTGAACCCAGTGTCTTATGTGAAAATCAAGATTTCCATTGTAATCAAAGATTAAAATCTGAATTTTTCTTCATTAGGTGTAAAAAAATCACGAATTTTTTCGACACCTCATAAGAAATAATCCACCATTTTGCAAACAAGTTTTATTATTTATTTATAAGAGGGAAATGTTTGATAAAATATCAATATTTTGCGAAATTGAATTTAGATAATACTGACTGGGTATGATTTTTTTCAAATTTTTTCCATGCAATAAATTGCAATAATAAAAAGCAATAATTATTATAATAATAATATTGTTATTATTGTAATAATTATTTAGTTGCAATAATTGCATGTTAAATCCAAAATTTGCGACGCAATGAATTGAATGCGCAAATAGAAGGATGGAAAGAGGTTTCCAGAAACGCCTATAAATTATTACCACATTTTTTACGACACTTTGTTGATAAAGATTTCTTTGAAATTCCGGTGCGAAATCTGTAGGATTTCCATACGAAAAATATATCTCCCAGTGTTAAAGTCGTTGAAAGAAAAACCATGAAGACCAGAATTGTATTAATTTTCGTCGGTTTAACCATCATTGGAAGTACTTTCGCCACCTCTTATAACCATTTGGAAGATAAACACAAAACAGTGAGCAAGGAAATCAAACTTATCAATCGTCATATCGAGAAAACCGAAGGCATTGTATGCTACACCCGTAAGTAGAAGACCTTATCATCGTTTGAAGTAGGAAGAATATACTATTCGATTAAGTCGTGGAGTGTAACAAAAAAAAATGAATTTAAAATCGTAATTTAATTCTAATATTGATTGACTTTAAGGAATGAATGAATGAATGCCCGTTCATGTACTTCATGATTGTTAATTTTTTTTAGGGGCTAAAATGTTACTTTTTCATCACGCTGTGACGAAAAGTGAACTTTTCGGCACGCTCCGCGTGCCTAAAAGTCCAATTTCCGCCACATTGTGATGAAAAATATTGTTCGTAACTCGTGAAAAAATGTTTTTTAGCTCGTGGGATTATATCACGAGCCGAAGGCGAGTGATATAAACCTCCTACTCTCCAAAAAACACTTTTTTGCACTCGTTACGAAATATACTATTTCGCACAGCGTGATGAAATAGTCTCTTATTTGACCAGCGCGTTTTTATCACTAGCAACACTTTATATTCAAAAGTATTTCCCTCTCCGGGCATGGATAGCGCGCCCAACCAATGCAATTCCACCACATTTACGTGACATGCCATTTCAGAACACCCGGAAACGTAAATTATTTGTTACAAATGTTTGGCACTGACGATAATTTTCATACTCGACATGGAGTTTTTATTTCTTCCTGGATTTTTGTCTAGATTTTAATCTTTTCTTCAGCCTTGAAAAAGTCATTTTCTTATATGATTCAATGTTGTTTGGCAATTTTAAATGAATTATTATTAATAATACTAGACTGTCGATTGAGCGGAAATTTGATTTAAATGTTTCTATTTGTCTTCATTTTCATTTGAAATAAAGAAAAAAAAATTGCAAATTTGCTAAGTTTTTTCATTCTATTTTTCTTCTCTTCTCATCAAGAAAATGTCAAACGAAAAGCTTAGAAAATTTACGCCGGGAAAATCCGATAAAAATATTCCAATAGAATAAGTTGTATAGAAAAATTCTTCACACTACTGTGAATTTTCTTTTAACAGTAATCTTCATTCCTCATTTCCTCTTTCGTTATTCTGTTCTCAGCATTCCAAAAGTTTTTCTCAGCCTTCTTGAACTTATTTCCGTTCAGCAATCCATTGCAAAAATTCTTCTTCTCAAACCAGATGAAATGTGAGGATTCAAAGAGGGTTCAACTGTTAAGGCTACAGGAAAAGAAAAAAATCAGAGAAGACCATCGTGATAGGTACCATAGAAAAATTAAACAAGTCCATCCGACGAAAACGCAAAATTCGATAGGAGCATCAGTCGAAGGAGTGGAAGAATCGCAATCGCTGGACGTGGGGAGCGCGAAAGGAGAAACTACTGGAAATAAGTATGAAGTGATAACGGAAAGCTCTGCCGAAAACTTCAGTGCGGCAGAAAGGATAAATACATTGTACGATAACAACAATGAACAGTCTCTTGAGGCAAAGCGAGAAGGATTCGAATCAGAAAAAGAATGATAATTTAGGAATTTTCCATAATTGTTAACGTAAGAAAAAATGTCAGAAAAACCTAGCAGATTCGCTTGAAAAGTTTATTTGGTTTCTATTGAACTTCCCATTAGTTTTTATTTCAATAGAAATGTTTAGTGCAAAATATTCTATAGAATAAATCAATAGAATTCGATTTTTCTATACAATTTATTATTATTTTTCTATACAATTTATTTTCGTCAGTTTTGATTGAAAGTTCATCCAACGTATTTCACCAAAAAACGTGGTGTATCGATGTATCATAACTATAGGCCAGTAATACCACTAATTTGGGAAGTATTTCCTAAAATTTTCCAACAGCGGCATAAATTCACTCCAGATATAAATTTATTCTGACGATTTATTTTGCTAACAAAGTTTGGTACAACCGGCTCTGTGATATTTTCTGTAGAAATTCCTCGGTGCAAATTTTTCCAGTTTTACAGTTTATTTATTTTTCTTAAGAAGGAAAAATAGAGTGGAAAAAAGTTGGGAAATTCATGCCCAGGAATTCCTACAGTTCAACGGAAAATATTCTACAGAAGAAATATCAATAGAATTTCATATTTCTATAGAACTCATTCTGTTGAACTATTTTCTATAGCAATTCCTCGGCTCAAATTTTCTGTTTTTCTGTTCTGATATTATTAATGAGAAAAGGACGAAAAATAGCGAGAAACCGCCCAAAAACTAATAGAATTTAACTAAAAGTTAAATCACAATTCACTAGAATTTTCTCTCGATTCGCTACATTTTTCTATAAAATTTTTTTGTGCGTGTCAGTTTAGCAGAAGTTTCCGGGGCAAAGTGGAACGTTTGTGATGATCCACTTTGATGATCCATTTTCTGAAAGAAAGCCGATAATCAAAGTGAAAGATATCTTTGATCTTTTTTTATAAACAGAGATATTGGGATTTCAAGTCGATGACAAACGTTCCATGTTGTCCCACCTTCCTCGATACCTCTGGTTTTTCTACCGGGGGTAGAAAGAATTTAAAAATTCCTCAATTTTCGTTATGAATTATACTAAATAAGTCCTGCAATAGCGAGTTTGCACATTTTATTTTTTCTTCTGTGTGTTTTGGTAATAATTATATTAGATGATTAGTAATCATTCGACAGGATAGTTTCCCTTGTTGTTATGTATTCGTTATAAACATGTTTCATATGTACCCATGAAATATATAATCCATGTAATTTTGCGTGTATTCCGCTTCCAATGAAATAAAAGATGAGAATAAAAATATACGGCCCAGTATTCATTTGATTGAACCTATTTTTGTTTCTACAAAGAATGATTTCATTAGTCTACACCTGAGGCAACGTCGAACCACCAATCACTGTTATCATTCAGTAGAATAAAATTGGCACATCATCATATGTGACTAGTGCATCCATCAAGACGAACATTCTTTTCAACGAGCATTGTATGAATCCCAAAATTCATACAATGCTTCAGGGATCGGCAATAATATTAGATCTTGGCAATATTAAAAAGGATTTACCAAATTAAAAATATTATAGAATTTATTAGCTAATTTTTTCGATTGATGGTGAATAAAATATTTGATAATACTAAAATGTAATTTGTTGGTAACCAAGCTAATTCCAACTTTAAGTACTTGATTTTCGATTATCCAAATAATCGTCAATCTTCCTACCTAAATTATTGTTTGATAGAATATTTCGAAATTTAATTGTACAAATTGATTTTTACTTTAATATTTAAAAAATTTTAAAATGTTCCATATTTACCCATGAAATATATAATCCATGTAATTTTGCGTGTATTCCGCTTCCAATGAAATAAAAGATGAGAATAAAAATATAAGACAGTATTTATTTGATTGCACATATTTTCTTACAAAGAATGATTTTATTAGTCTATATACCTGAGGCGACTCCAAACCAATCTCTGTTACTATTCAGTAGAATAAAATTGGCACATGGGCATATGTGACTAATTCATCCATCAAGATGAACACTCTTTTCAGTGAGCATTATATAAATCACACGATCTATTCAATAATTCCATTGCAATAAGTGGCAATACGACGTTACGCGAGGGAGAAGCCCAGGACATCCTCCATCGAGTAATCGAACAGTTTCAGGTCTATCCTGTAGAATTCCGCTAGTTTCCTGAGTTGTTTGAACGAGAGCCTTGAGTAATAATCCTCCAATTTTTTTTCCGTTGGCTCGCGACCTGTTGGCTTCGATGGAAAACTGAAATAACGAAAGTGCAATTAGCATCGAAATACATCGATGTAATTTCAAATTCTGTATCATCCCCGCGCTATTTTAGTCCGTCAAACCTTAGATTTTTTTAAGGTAGGAATTACGTGGAAAGCAGGATGCTATATGCCATATGCTGACTTTATCGCAATACGAGGGACACAATTAAATAATTAACAAAAATGCCGTGTGCCTCCGAATTTTTTAAACTGTACATTGTTAATTATGCAATTGTGTACGTTCGTTCGATTAAAATTTGTTTTCATCACGCTGTGCGAAAAAGTAACTTTTTAGGCACACTTCTCGTGCCTAAAACGTCCCTTTTCCGCACATTGTGATGAAAAATATCGTTCGATACTCATGGGAAAAGTGTTTTTTGGCGAGTGGGAGGTTTATAGCACGAGCCTTGAACGAGCCGAAGGCTCGTGCTATAAACCTCCCACGAGCCAAAAAACACTTTTCCGCACTCGTAACGAAATAGTATATTTCGTAACAAGTGCAAAAAAGTGTTTTTTGGCGAGTGGGAGGTTTATATCACGAGCCGAAGGCGAGTGATATAATCCCACGAGCTAAAAAACATTTTTTCACGAGTTACGAACAATATTTTTCATCACAATGTGGCGGAAATTGGACTTTTAGGCACGCGGAGCGTGCCGAAAAGTTCACTTTTCGTCACAGCGTGATGAAATATACTATTTCATCACGCTGTGCGAAAAAGTAACTTTTTAGGCACGTTTCGCGTGGTTGTTATAAGAATGGGGAAAATAATATTGGGGAAAATAGCGGGTTTACAAGTTCGTATAGCCTTTAGATTTCCGAGTAGAGTGACAGGGTATTGATTTTAAAACTTGTCTAAAGAAGGTTAGACGGATATAAATTGATTCTGTAAGGAGCTGCAGTAAGCTACTGATGTATCTTGAAATGCGATGAAGTTGTATTGGTTTTAAAACTTGTCTAAAGAAGGTTAGACGGACATAAATTGATTCTGTAAGGAGCTGCAGTAAGCTACTGATGTATCTTGAAATGCGATGATGTTGTATTGATTTTAAAACTTGTCTAAAGAAGGTTAGACGGACATAAATTGATTCTGTAAGGAGCTGCAGTAAGTTACTGATGTATCGAGATAGGGCGTTAGGGGTGCGCTTGTGACAAAGATCAAGAATATGGTCCAGCTTCTGAAGGACGAAATTGGTTGTTAGTTTGTTGAGTCTGTCTAGAATGGGTTCGGAAGGGGTGCAATAAATAATTTTTTCAAGAAAATACAGTTGGCCATCACCTTATGTATCCCGTTCCAATCCTCTCCAGCACCTCGGTGGCGTCTTCCACCAGAGTCTCATACTTGCTAATGAGATTATAATTAACTATACATGGCAGACACAATTCACTGACTGGTCTCCAGTGTTCATTGGTCGTCCCATTATTATCATCAGTGATAAAATCAACAAATTCCCCGAAAGTCACGTCATCGCCTTTGCGCAGTGACTCCCTGGTGGCATTTTTTCTGTATCTCTACGAAAAGGATGAGAGAGAAAAAAATCATTAGCATGGAGCACATCCAAAAGGATTGGTCCTAGAAAATTCCTGAATACATTAGACCGCAGCAAAAAAATAATGAGTCTGTTTTCGTTCCCACCTTGACGATCTTTCTTCCAAAACGAGTTTGGAAGTACTTTGAACTCGTCTCGTCCCTCGTCTCGAGTTTGTTCCTGTAAGCTGACAGCAATCTCTCCAGTGGGTGGCGCACTGCAATGAGTGCATCGTAAGTTGCCAATTTTTGCTCAATTTCGGGCATTGAGAAGTTGCTCAGACGTAGAAAAGTGCCAGGGGCGTGTGTCAAATTGGCTGGAATTTCCAGGGGATCACTTCCAGGCCATTTGCCGGTTGCTATCATCAGAACGCGCTTCCAGTTTGTGCAGGCTACCTGTCGATAAGGGTAACAAATTGCTCTCAATGAATGCATTCCATAGACGGAGAAAATTTTTTCCCGGAGTCCAGAATCCATACTCATGGGAATACTTAATGGAAAAACCTGGCGCTTCCTGCAAGAAATTCTATTGCATTTGTATTGGAATTCTATGGGAATTTTATTGGAGTCCTATTAATTTTTTGTTAAGAAGATGTGTTGATTTTTGCGTTAAAAAATTCTGGAGCTTATCTCCAAGTTTTTTTTATAGAAATATTCAATGGAAAATCTTCTGTAGAAGAAATCAATAGCATTCGATTTTTCTATACAACTTATTCTATTGAGATAGTTCTATAGAAATTCTCAAGTTTTTCATGTTTTCTTGTTTGATTTTTTTAGTTAAAAAAAGAAGAAAGAATGGAAAAAAATTGGAAAATTCATGTCAAGGAATTCCTATAGAAATGTCTCAAATCTAGTAGAATTTTCTGTTGAATTCGCTAGGTTTTCCGATGAAATTGTCTCGTGCCTGTTAACTTACTAGGGGTGAGATGGACTAAGTGGATGTAGAGAAAATTAGCGAATTCGCACAAAGTTTTATCGAATTTTTAGTGAACATTCTATTAGTTTTCGCCCGATTCTATTGACAAGATCAATAGAGTTCAATTTTTCTATACAACGTATTCTATTGAGTTGTTTCCTATTCACATTTCTCCACTCAAATTTTCCAAGTGTTTTTGTTCCTTTTTTTTTCATGAAAAAAGAAGAAAAATGAAATAGAAAAAACGTCAAGAAAAATTTTCATTTATTCTATAAAATAGTTTCTATTGGACATTTTCTATAAAAAAAAATGTGCAGTGCAGTTGCGGAATTTATCAATAAAAAAATTTTGTAACAAAATTTTCACTAGAAATTCAACAGAATTTTCCATCGAATTCATTAGGTGTTTCAACGATTTTTTTTCGCGCGCGTATGGCTAATCATTACTTTTGGTACATAGCAGTAAAGCAATTCGTGCGCCTCATCCACCAGAATATTCCGAAAGTCCTTGGGCTTGAGATTCTCCAGTTCAGGACTAGCCATCCTCATCACCTCCTCGCAGTTGAGCTGCAGTCTCTCCTGGCGATCCATTAGTACCGATCTCTCAAGGGCATTTGACCCCATCACGGAATAAGGTGGCTTTCGTCGAGGAATATCACCTGACAAACTGATCTCGCCTGTCACAAACAAATCCACCAACACGTAAGTCCAAACTGTCATCCCCAGTGCTACTCTCCATCCTGTCATGATACTCTGCCTTCCCACTCATTGATTCAGCCCGGCTGACGCGAGTCCCGAAGAATCTCCACTCTAGAGTTGATAACAAAAAGCTCTGTGTTTAGTGATGGGATTGTGGAGTGGGGCTAAAAAAAAAAAAAAAAAACCAAAAATACAAAGAGAATTAGAATTTAGAG